ATAATTGAATCAAAGCATTATTGTCCTTAAATTCAATCTTTAATATTTTCTCCTTCTAAATGAAGTTGTATGCATCCCTTTTAAAGAATATAACATTCTGAACCCGTCCAACTTCTTCAGCGATGTAGAAGAATGCATCAACGGTTATATTCATGGCTTATGTAATTGACTTCATAACAGAAGCTTTATCATCATTGATTTTCCTTCATGATCTCGGGAGGTGCTGGTCTCTTGGCCTAACAAATTAATGATTGTGGATTTCAATAAAATTTTTCACAATCCAATTTCCAGATTTATCTACTGAAAACCTGATCAAAGATAGACAACCCGCTCTGGTATCATATCTTCTATATTTCTTTTGAGAATTCAGATCAAATATTTTCTTGAAACTAGCTTTTGAACAGATAAAGTCCTTGAATTTATTTTTTTAAAAAATTTGGTCAGTAACTATGATGATCCTTGCGCGCACTAAAATAACTATTATGAGCATAAGTGTAGCAAGCATCATAAGCTTCTTTTTCATTTTTAAATACAACCTGAACAAACAGAAGATAGTCAAAAGAACAGTAAAAACGCATAAAAAGCACAATAAAAGCACAATAAAAGTGCATCAAAAGGGTTATGAAAGCACAGTAAAAACACAATAAATAATAGCACAGTAAAAGCACAACAAAAACTTAGATAAAGCACAATAAGATATGTTTGTTAAACACAAGTTAATGAACAGCCAAATGCAGTAATATCAAAGTAAAAACAAAGTAAAAGTTATATTTGAAAGATGCATTTAATACATTAATTGAAAGTGCAATAAGAACACAAACAAATTTTATACATCATTTGAAACCTTTCGAAAACTTTAGGATAAGGTAGAAATTTACTGATAAGTTGAAACATGTCGCTGATCCAGCCAAAATACCTTCCGATTTCTGAAAGTTTCCATACATGCGTTCAACATTTGTGTCTTGTGAGCATTATAGCTCTGCAAAAATAGCAAGTTCTTGTTTTTCCTTTCTAAGCAGCTAACTGAGGTCCTAAATATTTCGATTTAGGACCTTTCGCGGGGTTCCTTGAGGTGCCAACCCTAAATCCAGTCGTCCAGACGATCCAATTTTCGTCCCGACGAATCATACAACCAAAACTGATTTTTTGCACAACCTGTACCGATCGTCCCGGACGATCCAACTTCGTCCCGGACGAACCTGGAGCAAAAACTGATATTACATCCTTGAGGTGCCAACCCTAAATCCAGGGTTTTAAAAAGACAAATTTTTAAGGTCAAACGGGTTGCTCGAGCTGACAAGACATAAAAAAAGGTTTTTATTTAAAAAAATTTCATGTGTATCATTTTTATTGGCGTATGAACATAAGGTTACTTTCGATCTCCACACTGAATAATTTGCCCATCGAAGGGACTTTTTATTTTGTGCTGACACCGGACGGAAGAATAGTCCGATTTTCTCTCTACGAACTGCGCTTTTAGTGTAGATAGAGAGAAATCGGATGATTCTCTCTGTCCGGTGTCTGCACAGAATAATCTCTAGATGGGGTGAGGGTGTGTGTCTGTACACATTCATGGGTAATATATTTGTAAAATTACCATTTTTTAAAATTTATATTTAGTAAATTTAATATAATATAGAAGAAAATATTTTAATGTAAACATATGCTTAGTTTGGAATATCTTTTTCATACTTTCTAAAATTATTTTTTAGCAAAAAAAAATTAGTTTAACAAATTTTATAATAAAAAAAACTGCTTTAAAAAACAGTAACAAAATTGTGCCAAGTGAAACCTTAGACTTCATTTTATTTTCTTACTGTTTTGAGAAGTAATGTCGAAGATCATTATATGAATTTACTTAGGTCAAAATATATTTGGTTTCAAATGTTAGTAGCTGTCACATTTCGGTCCAGGAGGCAATACACCTTGACAATATGGGATGCAATAAAGCGATAGAAAGACATGTTTTTTTATTCACAAAGAGAAGGATACATATACAATAGATACATCATTATACACACACACACACACACATCATAGTAAACAAACGAAGAGCCAATTAATTAATAGAAGTTCAAATAACAAATACATCAAAATAATAATAATTTTGATACAAGCCAATAGAAATATAAATAGAACAAAAAGTATAAAAGAAACTACTCAACCCCCGAAACACATAAACATAACTAGCTACTATAAAATAAGAAATATAAAAAAGTCTGTTGCTAGTAACCCTACTCTTGAGGTGCCGGTCAACCAAACACGCCTGCAGGACCTGCTAAAAATAATAATTTGCTCAGCAAATAACTCCTATATATCAAATCATAAATGACAAAAAAATAGGGCATGCAATATGGACAACCAATTAGTGAAAGTAACAACCTAAAGTCACTAGTTCAAAGTAGTAAAGACACTACCATATTCTCCTACAATAGGAATATACTATGCTAGTGACATTAATGTATGTAAAAAATTACTATCAATATAATTATTTTAATATTTGAAAATGCAATCACACTAGGTATCATCATACCTCAAAATAACACACAATCATTTATTATTTCCAATTCGCATTTACTTATATCTGCTCACACACACACACACACACACACACACACACACACACACACACACACACACACACACACACACACACACATATATATATATATATATATATATATAAGGTAAGCACCAATCAAGAAGGTAAGCACCAATCCAAAAAAATTCAGTGATTCATATAGAGTCGTCACTATGGGGGGGCCGTTGACCTGGACTAGCCTAAAACTAATAGTCTTATACCGACATACGCATAATCATATAATGCAAGTGTTGTTACAAATAATCAGCAGGTGTTATGTAACTCAATATGACAAAACACAATTTATATAACCAACTTGATATATAACATGAGTATCATATACTACAAAAAAATAAAATTGATATGATTTGCCAGTAATATTTTTATTGCATTCAAATAAAAATATGCATGAAGATACAAAATTTTATGTATAAAAGGTTATACAACAATAATTCAAGAATATTCTTTTTATGAAATTTGCTAATTCATTATAAGCAACAACAAAGATTTACTACATGATGGTTTCTATGTGAGCCATAAACAAAATCACTCACATGCACAATACTAACAAATATGTAAAATAGAACTGACAACTTAAATGATTATAAAAGAATTCTAATACAAATATATATAATCATGAATAAGTGCCACCCACAAATATATGAAACAAATAAAATATATTTAATTAAGATCTAAAGCCACCAATTAAATTTATAAACCTAAACAATCACTAAAAAAGAACTTAATTTTGATGAATGATCTCAGTCAACATGAAAAAAATGGAAGAGGAAAACCCAACTTTGATCAAAGAGAAAGGAGGAAAACTCCACCTCGTTCAAAGAGGTAGAAGATGGAGAGGTCTTCTTTGCTAACAACAACTACTGCGATTGAGAGAGAAATGCAAATGAAGTACATGGAAGTGGTTTGACGGATGCTATGCGAGGGAGGGAGGAAAATATGATGCCCTGGGTTTTTCTTTACTTCCTTAAATGTGTGTGTGTGTGTGAGAGAGAGAGAGAGAGAGAGAGAGAGAGAGAGAGAGAGAGAGAGAGAGAGAATCAAATGGAGCAAGAAGAATCGTGATTGCGAAGAGAAAGAGGAAAAAAAAATGCATGCAACAATTACTGTTGAGTCCGATCGTGTGCGGTCCGGGCAAAGGGAGGAGCGGGAGCACTCGTGAGGCTCAGATTGTGCAAAAGAACCCGGACCAGTTCAGTCCGGTAGGTTATTATAGTAGTTGTAGTTGTTATTATCGAATGATTAAATTAAATAATAGTAGTTTTAAACAAATTAATCATTCCAGTAGATCCTAGGGCATTCACATTCTCTCTCCCAGTGCATTCCAATAATGCTTTTGCTCAATACTTTTTGTTATAGTTGTTATTTATTAGCCAACTACTTGTGCTCATCTTCTTTAAAAAACAACAAAAGATGAAAATTCTTCAAGTTCCAATCCAATGATTAGAGCAAATTCAATTACTCAATATATTATAATATTACCTCCAATTTTGAACCTAATGGAGTGTCTCTCATTCTACTCATCATCAACCATCATTAAAAAATAGTTAATTAATTAGGGTCACATAATTGTAGTTCAAGAGTTTAAATAATTGCCCAAATGAAGATTTTACTTCCCTTCCAATTAGATCAAAGACACAAATTATCTAGCAATTTTCTCCCCCATACTTGAACTCTTCATGTGACTTAATCAATGTAATGCCTTTCAATTTAAACTAGAAGCGACATATGTATAAAAAAATATTACAACTCAAATGAGTCAATTCCATATATAAGTAATGAGAGCTAAACAAACCATGCTCAAACTGTATTTGAACCTTATTCAAACCTTGATTGAATATTGTTTGAATCATGTTTGAACGTATATTGAATCTTGTTCGAATATTGTTCCAATTATGTTTAAACATTGCTCCAGCCATATCTGAACCTCATTCAAACCTCCTTCATATAATGCTTGAACATTATTTAAAAATTGTTTGAACAATTTCCAACCATCTTTTTAACAATTAACATTATGTACAATGTTGTGATGAGTTTAATGTTTATATTGAGAAAGACACATTCAAACATAATCATCACTAACCTTAACCAAATGATGATTGGAAAGAGGAAACCATCACTGCGAAGCTTACAAGATCTAAAATTTATGGAGATAGAGAATTTGTTGGAAGAGAAATTATTGGACAACTTGTTTATTTGATTGAAAGTTTGATCAACTCCTTTGGAAAGATTTTGACCATATAAAAAAATTTAATTTTCAAATATTTTTCTATATTAATTCTAAAATAAATAATCATTTGATTTGATTTAAATTTTTTATTGTATTTAAAATAAATAACAAATATTTAGCCCATTGTTTTTTAATTTTCTTTCTCTAATGTACTACACTTCCATGTGAGATTCTTGCTGCCGGTGCCTAGGGGTAAAATCTGCCGAGAGAGCTTCTCAGTGCGAGGAGGCCATTTTTCATGCAGTAACTCTATCAGCTCGAAGCTGGAGGAAAAACCCGCGGCTTTGCTTCGGAGAGCGACGGAACCAAGCAATCGCCCGCACTTTTAAACAAAGCCCGCCGATGCTTATCCAAAGAAGCATCTCCCGTTCTCTCTCCTTCCATCGGGCCATAACTCAAATGAAGACCGCTTCTCTTGCGCACAATTCTATAATCCGACCTCACTCTTATTTCCCCATCTACAGCCGTCGGTTCTTCTTTCTCATCCATCAATCCCTCCCTTTTCCTATGTCAACACCTCCATTCGGCTCCTTCGCGGCTACTGGCAAGGAATCCAAGCAACCCATCGCTGCCCTGCTCCAAGTTGGCGGTGTCAAGATCACTAAAGATGGTATTTTTCTCAAATTCTTCATTAGAATAAGTAGTTTGTAATTGAATTCAGATGGTATTCTTCTAATCTTTTGTTATTGGGTATTTTTCTTTAAAACTCTTTCCTTAGATGTTGTGAGGGAGAACGATCCCGCTAACAATGTTCCCGATGCAATATTTTCCAAGCTGGGGATGCAGCTTCACCGTAGAGATAACCACCCAATTGGAATTTTGAAGAATGCTATTTATGAGTACTTTGATTCAAACTACTCAGGGAAGTTTGTGAAGTTTGATGACCTCAGCCCCATTGTTTCCGTTAAAGCGGTAAGAGTTTATAGCTTGCTAGCATGTTAGTTTTTTTAATGTAGATAAGCTGTTTGATGTTTTGCTGGTTTCAGAAATCTTGGTACTGACATGAATTTCATTGAGAACTGAATGAGGATCCTAGTCTAGATAAATACTTCCAGTTATATAAGAAGTTGGAAGTTGAAATTTCTTAATATTGTGATTGAAGTTAATTTCCAGCTATTAGGATGCAACTCAAGTAGTATTTAGTAAGTCCTCTAAATTGGAATTTAGCAAATCCGGAGGGTTTTAAGTCCTAGAAATTGTTTGGGTCAGTTATTGTTAATTCCGCGCTAATCTGTACAAACTGTTTGGCCGGTTTTATATGATTTAGAGATTAAAAGGACATTCCATTACTTGAAAATAAGTATTGAGCTAAAAGATAAATTAACTAATTAATTATGATCCAAGAGACTCATACATCAATAAAGCTTAAATCAAGCTCAAGTCCAAATTCCAAATACAATATCTAGCACAAAGATTTGAGCCATGATCAAGCCCAAATGGTTAATCTAGCTACATGGAGCATGGTTGGCTACTCAGCAATAATAAGTGGTTACATGATAAAGATGGGGAATTTCTAGATGCTATAATATTTCAAACCACTTATTCCTCATTAGGATGGCCAACCACATTATGGTGGAAGGAAAAGTCTATTTGACGCTCATTCAGTTAGGAGGAATTACTATTATTATAACAGTCCAAACTCTCAATCGTCAAAATATTATCCGTTTTGACCTAGTAGTGTCATTAGTCATTGCTTTGTCCCCTTAGTATAACTTTCCAGGAGGCCACACAACCTAATACTGCTCTTAGGTGAGCGCGCTTAACTTTGAAGTTTCTATTGAAATTTCAATTGTTACACCAAAAGGCACATCAATGTTTAAGATTTTAGTTTTATTCAACTTAAAGGGTTTCACAATCTCCACCAGTTAGATACCTAACATCCTCAATAGTTTTCTTAGGATTTTACAATCTCTCCCACTTAGATAATTTACATCCTTGTCAGTTTCATTAGCTCAGAATCATTCACCAAGAAGATAGGATTCTAAAGATAGAGTTTGCATATTCTTGCTGGTATATTACTTTGATACCACTTGTATTAGTCTAAACTCTCAACCTTCAAGATATTGTCTGTTTTGACCTAATAGTCTCATGATTTTGTCCTCTTGGTATAACTTTTCAGGAGGTCACCCATCTTAAGACTACTCTTATACGAGCACATTTAATTTTGGAGTTTATATTGAAATTTTCACCATTACACCAAAAGGCTCCTCGATGTTCGAGAGTTTAGTTTTATTCGACTTAAGGGATTTCACTATTTCCACCACTTAAATAATTGATGTCCTCATCAGTTTCCTCAGGGTTTCACAATCATCTTGGGTGCTACCTATTTGATATCATACATTATAAGTTTCCTTAGGCTTTTTAGGATTATATTTTTCATTTTAATGCAAACCTTATTGCAATAACTTTTGATGACTTTAAGTATATAGTGAATTCAATCTCTAAATCACACAATTCTTAGCCACCTCCACCCTCTTTCATTTCTCTAGTTGTCTTTCTTCTCTTTTACTCTTTCTACCTGTCCAAATCCTAAAGGTCTAAGGAAGGGCAAATTATTCTGTGTGGACAACGGACGCAAGCTTGCTTCCAAATTGCTGCGCTTTTGATGTATTTTTACAAAAGGGAATCTAATACACAATTTAAATTGCATATTAGCTGCCATTTTGCTGAGTATTTGCAAAAATGCAGCAAAAGCGCTATAAATATCTTACTCATTGAGTATTTGCTGTCATTTTGCTACGCTTTATTTGCACTTTTCAAATACTCAGTAAAAGGACAACAAAGGGCAACTAATATGCAATTAAAATTGTGTATTAACTGCCATTTTGTAAAAATACATTAAAAACGCAGTAAAAGCGCAGCAAATCCGGACGCAAGCTTGCGTCTGGTGTCAGCACATAATAATTTGCCCTAAGGAAGATGATGGAAATTGGAGTGTTGTACTTGTTGAGAATACATGTAAACATTTAGGCGGGCACATTGCCATTCCTAGAGTTTATGTTGCCTTGCTTGTTTTTTTTCTTAGTTTTTGTTTCTAGTATTCTTTTTGTATGAACAAGTCAATAGTAGTGATTCTTCAGAGAATGGATTGTGTTATCTAAAATGACAATTGGTTTTGTTTGGTTTGGTTTTCCATATTGGTTTGAATCTCCAGCTACTTGTTCATTGAATTGCTACTATAGTATTGCCCCACTTGATTTTTGCATTGCAGCATTGAGTCAGTTCCTTAAACAGAGGCCTTTCGATGACCCGGTTAGGAAAGTTGAGGTATTAGATTTGACTTGTGTTAAGAAAGGTAGAGCTAGACCTAAAAAGACTTGGTTAGAAAATATTAGAAATGATATTTCTTTATTAGATTTAAACGAGAATTTGACTTTTAACCGGACAAACAATGGAGAAAAAAGATTTATTTAGTTGATAGAAAATACTTGTGTTCGCAAGCAAATCTATCATTAATTGGTGAAAACAGCGAGAATAATGCAAAATCTAGGTGAAATCAGCCCCAAAACGATGGATTGCAATAAGAGAATTAAAGCCAAACAAACACGAAAACAAGAGACAAGTGATCCTCAATTCGAGAGGAGGATCATTCTCTCCCAATCTCTAGACAAGGAGTCTAGAGCCCAAGACGCCAAGGAACTACAAGAGAAACAAATTAAGCATAACCCTAACCCTAAAACACCTCATGCTATTTAATACATAAACTTTCCGAATCAATTTTCCCTCCAAAGCCCTAGTCGCCCCCTCATTTTCTAATTTGAACTCAATTGGAATTGTGGGACCCACTATTGTGGGCGGCAAGTATAGAGGAGGTGGAACTAGCCCGCCTCCTATAAACAAAAACCGGCCTTGGATGAACCGGCCTATCAATAGACGACCTGACGTACTGGGACAAAGGCTTGATGTTCTTGATGTTGTTGTAGCATTGAGTCAATGCTTTGTTATTATCTTTTTCTGGTGAATTTTCTGTTGTTGTTATTTGTAGCATGTTATTGTAGACTTGCCATGAATTTGGGAATCCCTATTGCTGCCTTTGCATGTGTTGGAGTGGGGTGCTTTCCTTATTTGCTAAAATTTGGTTCTGTGGTACTAGTAAAGAAATCAAATGATGCATTTTCTAATGTCCTCGTATATGGTACAATTGTTAAATAGAAAAATTCTTCCTTACAGATCCATATCTTGCACTCTAACATATATATATATTTTAGAAACATAATATTATTATTATATGATGAAATGGGTACACAAGTGGCTATAACAGGGAATTGCTAGATTAAAATGTTAAAGCAAAAAACACAATATCCATTTATAGGGGAGGAGATCTTGTGAGAAAAATCTGAAACTTTTCAGAATTCCTGAAAGGAATTGTGTCAGAATTTTTTGGAACGATTTACTCTCCCCAAATGTCTGTTTGCTGTCCTGCACCAGAAGAAGGCTGAATTTTAACCATAACTCCCGTAGGCTGAAATTTCTCAAGGCCTCACCTAGGCTTGCTGTCATATTTTTGAGGAGGAAATCCTCTCCCTAGCAAAGCCTCCTACCCGTTCTACATCACCTATCCACTCGAGCTTCTATACTTGCTAAACTACCATCCAAATTTGAAAGTTACTGTGACTCCGTGGCGTCAACATCCTCTATAATAATGATTAGATGAGAGGCTAGCTCTTCTAAAGGATCTATAGCAATGATTTTGGGTGCAAATCATTTTATGTTATCTTTCACAAGGTTTTTCACAATAAGGGTAGGTTTTGAAGGCTTTGATTTCACAATACAATCTAGAGTTTGTTCCAGATTTTGTAGGCATGTTTGAATTGAAGAATTTCGAACTAATTTTATCTCATCTGAATAGAGATTTTGATCATTTGCATGTTTCCCTTGTTTCAGGTTGTATGGATTGATAAAAAATAATTTGCTTAGTTATTAACGAGCTTTGATGCACTCAGGTAGTTTTACTTTTTTTTTGTAAGAGGTACAATACTAATGAATACTTTCAAATATAATATTCTCATAATAAACACAAGAAGAAGAGCTAATCCAAACCTCTCTATCCAAAGGCATTGTAGCATATACTTACAAGGGTTTCCCAAGATATAATCCAAAAAATATAGTATAGATTGATTGAAGTAGTTTGGTCAAAGTTGAGGAAAATAAACCAAATAGACAGGAGGTTCTACAAACGAGTCAAAGTGAAGAGATTACTTTAAAATTTGAATTAGAAAGCAACTCACATAGTTTGATCAACATGAAAATAGTAGAAAGTTATATGCTTCAACTGATAATCTAATAATACTAGGCCAGGGTTGAGGAGCCTAATTGAATATTCTCCAGACATATAAAAATCTAACATAAATGAATATATAATCTCAAGACTGGGACTTCATATTGACAATTTTCGCACTATGGAGAAGGAGAATTGATTAGATCTAATATCTCTAATTCAATGAAGAGAAGAGTTGATTTACCCTTAAAGGTAGAGGGCTGCTTTTGATGATGGGAGTTTGAACCTTTATAAAAAAATAATAAAAATTGGATAGACGAAGGTCGTTGAGTTTCTAAAGTTATCAACCTTCCAACAACTTCAACAAAGGATCATGGAACGTCGACAATAGGAGAAGCGCCCGATATAGAGGCATGGAACATAGGGGAAACAATATCTTCCTACTGCTACAATAATAAGAGAGCAACCTTGACATGTAAAATAACTTGAGGAGGCAAAGAAGATGGCAACATGACCTATTGTGGGCTTAAAAAATTCGTACCCCAGCCTCTTCGCGGCCCATTTATTTTCTTCTTTATGGGTCGTCGTGAAGAGTTTTAACAAGTATGTTGCGAGGCAAATTTTTAGAAGGTATATTGGGTTCAAATAAGACATTACCCAGAGATTTCACCCTCATTTTGCGAGGACTTTATGATATGAGTTTAGGTTTCCTATAGGCGTAAGCCCCTATAGTTAATTATCCCTCCCCATAGTGAGAGAAAATTTCAATTAAGGCTAGTCATCAAACAGATACATGATATCTGGCGTATAGTAGCAACGTGTTTAGGTATTTGAAAATTTAATATTAAGAATTAAAAATTTACCACCTGGCACTTAAAGCGGATGGTGGGGGGAATGAAGATAGACCCGATCAAGATCCCATGGTTCCATCATGCCGGGTCATCGTGATCCCTAATCTACTTAGTCAGAGGAGGTAGTCAATAGAACCTGACAGAAGGTTCATTGTCGGCAGTCGTGGGTTGCTTCGTCCAAGGGTACATTGTAGAAGGATCATTGTCCACAGGGGATCCTCTGTACTCATGACATATCCGTTGTTATTATCCACAAATAGATCATATCAGTCATCATCAGTCACAGGGAATGATTGTATTCATCTACAAGGGAACTGACATTGATTGCAGGGATGTCGCAACATTCACTGCAGGCTCTTCATATTTCTCCCATGAATTGCAATTATCATGCCTCTTCCACAAGCATGAGCATTGTACATCAGCTAATCATCATTCATAGGTGATTATTTATCTGTTCACATGACATTAGTTGTATGCGAGCTACATTTGCTTCAATCCTTTCAAACACCTCTTAGTTGGCAATTCATTGCATGTTCGATTGTCGCTGCTTGTTGATGATTGCATTTCAGTGGACATGATAACTCTGTGAAATCTTGTGTTTTCGATTGTAGGATATAGTTACATTCCTTATAATCTTCTTGTATATGTTTGTAGGATGACAACCAATGTTGTCATATGTAGACAAGTTAGTGTATTTGCTTGCAACTTACTGTTGCCTATCGGTTGAGCTGTGTGCACTGCTGATTTCTTCATACATGTCGGTCAGCAAACTGTTATATTAGCTTGCATGCATTTCACTGTCATCTGTGAACATTTGTCAAACATGTATTAAGAGTACTTCATGACCCATCGGTGATTGTTGCTTATAGTTGTATAGTGACATTGATATTTTCATTGAAGGTCTAGTGCTCTTGTCCTTTAATGAACTGTGGCATTTGCACTACGAATCTCTCCTAAGTCCTACCCATAGGCAAGTTGTTGTATGCATAACAATTCTTTTAATCATATTCGTAAGGAATCCGTTATATTTACAATTTATCAATTGTCGTAGCTACTTATTAGTGTTTGCTCGTGTTACAAATTTGTTGCCTTTGCTTGTTCATTGACGGTCATATGAAGGACTCAAATTATTATTTGGCATGTATATTTTCATTTTGATTGTGCATTTGTCAAATTAAAGTCCGGTTCTCTGTGGTTCAATATGCAAGTTAGCTTCTGTGCAGTCTTGTTGAAGTCAAGTCTTCTATTTGCTTAAAAGTTTGGTCCCCTATAAATTCATTTGTCTGGATCTCGTTGCATTGTTTATTGTGCAATTAATTTTTCCTAAAATTTCTTAAGCTAATTCATTGTTCAGATGAAATTTTGGCAGCCTCCCGGCGTCTCCCATGTTTAGGGGAAATTTAGAGAGTCTTAGCTTGACCACGTTAGAGAAAGAAGTGTATGGTCGGTGTTGGATGACACTGTGGCCGTGGTCTTCAATTCCACCACGCCAGAGAAAGGCGTTCACGAGTCTTCAGGGGTACATGTTTGAAAATCCAATTTTTTCCCGCAGGCATTAAGGCTCATACATGGGTGCTTAATTTTTACCTCGCCACGCTAAGAAAAGTGTGCATAAGGCTTACCCGCCTTGTCGCAAGCGCCGCACCGGGTTCCCTCCCACCACTTTAGAGAAAGCGTGTATAAGTGGTCCCGCGGTACACTGCGAGCATCAAAAAATAAGATTTTGGGAGTTTTCATATTCAGAAATCATTATACCTCAGCAATGGGGGTCGACGGTAAAAATGCGCACAAATATTAAGGTACACAATTTTCCTTTTCTCTTTTTTTTTTTTTAGAAAATTCTCTTTTCTCTTTTTTTCTTTTATCTTTTCCTCTTCACTTTTTTTTTAAACAACGACAATGATACTAGTAATCATAATAGTAATAGAGGGGGGTTGGGGGGCTGATTTTCGTTAAGTGGGTTGATTTTGGAATGTTGTAGTTATAAGTGGTTGCTTGGTCTGAATTTTGGAAGTGGAATGGGTTGTAGGTTTGTTATTGAAATGTGTAAATGGATGTATAATGGGCTGTAGAGGAGATGAGTTTGGGTTATTTGGCTGATATTTGGAGATGGAATGGGCTAAGTGGGCTGAGGGAGGAGATGGTTTGTTGTTGGCTGCAATTGTGAAGAGAACAACAAGGCTGTCAACCTTGTGTTGGGTTAGGATTTTGAGTGATGGCGATCGAGGTGTCCCGATGCTCTGATAAGCGACATATCTGATAGTTCCTTCCTCGATTTACTCAGTTAATCGTAAAACATATATAGAGGTCAACACCTATAAACAATTATGTACCTTCCCACTAAAGTGTTGTGAAAGTAAATTAAAAGTTAAAAAACTAAATTGAGATAGTAGGGGTGCCATCTAGGGTGTCAAGGCTAGAGACCACAAGGAGAAACATGATGCCTAGAAGTGTCGTCTACCCACTGATAGGTATAGGGATCTAGGGAGTCAACTAACTTGATTAGCGAGTGACAGATGCTGAATATTGCGACAAAGAACCCAGAGCCATGGATAAAGCTGAGGCAACTTGCTGGCTTTAGGCGCCATGAGCTCAATCATGCAAACTAAGGGCGAGGGATTAGAGCAGCATGTGAGGAAAAAGAATGTGGGGGTCGCCCACAAAGGGTCACCGATGGGTGGGAACTGCCAGTGAGGGAAATACCTAGGGCAATCTTGCAATATTGGCACAGCTCGCAATTTATTGGAATTAGGGTTCTTAAAATTAGAAACTTATTGTTTAGTCTATTTCCAAAATTTTGTAAAAAGTACCTACTATGGGTCTAGTTATGATTCATAGGGATGTAAAAAAATTGTAATAAGGGATTTGTAGGCTGGTAAAAATTCAACTTTGGTTTTATGCAATTACTGACTCCTATTAACTATGGATATAACACAACTGCTTTAACAAAGTTACAATTAACCTCGATATATTTAATTGTTTCATGAATATGGATTGCTTGCAATATAGATAGATGCACGAATGTCATAATATAAACACTACCTTCTTGACAAAAAATCGAATTCCTAGGCAAAATATTTGGGATGGCTCAGATTCTTTGATATAAAATAATTTTGAATTAGTGTTTGGTTTCAATTACTACTTCTTGGTTATTCCCTGTAAGAAGAGTGTTTTTAGCATTGACTACATATTTAATATAGCCTGAAAAGGGGGCTGACAAAGATAGAATTATCTTTGATGCTATTGGGAAGATCGACCGTAACAAGAAGCTCGCAAGACTTGTGAAACCGTATATGAAGGCTTTGCTTAAGAATCTTGTTAAGGTTAGAGGCTTGATCTTCTTCTGGACCACATACCCTAAAGAAATACTTGTATGCTCTTGCCCTAGGAATTGGCTTCTTTTCCCTGCTTAGATAGGATCAGCTTATTGTAACTTGTAGGATGAGGCATCAAATAAATTTGTTAGAGTGACACGATTACTAAAAAAATAAAGAATACGGTGGTTGGTCTTATCACTTCATCTTTATCTTGTCATCCTTTTTACTTCTTTCATTAGAAAGATTTCTTTCGTTCCATATGATTATGATAACGTGAAGAAATTCCATTTTGCAGAATTTTGATGATGTTTTGGTCCCTGCTGATCATGTTAGCAGGAGTAATAATGATACATACTATGTTGATGCTCAAACAGTCTTGAGGTGCCATACAAGTGCGCATCAAGCAGAGTTGTTGAAAACTGGGCACTCTCATTTTCTGGTGACTGGCGATGTTTATCGAAGGGATTCCATCGACTCAACCCATTATCCTGTATTCCATCAGGTTTTTACCAACTTTCTAGTAGTTTCCTTTAGAAATATGCTGCACTTTTTTTGCTATGTTTCAAGTATAATGCAAACAGATGGAAGGGGTTCGTGTCTTCTGTTCTGATGAGTGGGTTGATTCTGGTTTGGATGGAACATCTTATGCTGCTATGGATTTAAAGAAATCTCTCGAGGGTTTGGCAAAAAAATTATTTGGTAAGATAAAATATGAGGGGCCATGACTGACATTTTGGGCTGCAACTTTTTATCTTCTTAAATTTCTAAAATTTATAATTTTTGTAATTTGCAGGTGATGTGGAGATGCGGTGGATTGATACTTATTTTCCCTTCACAAACCCATCTTTTGAGCTGGAGATATATTTTCAGGTTTGTCAAGAATTATAGTTTTCTGCTAATTCCAAACTCCAATTATGATTTTGGAAGGTTGATATGGGTTATCATATGTGGATTCCACTCTGTTGGACTTAAAAAATGCTTAAGCTTTAGTCTGTTGTCCAACATTTTACTAATTATTCAACTAGTTAATTTTAGGTATATATAAAATTGTGAGCATATACGTTAAAAGATTGGAGTAGCTCCAATGGAAGATAATATTAGAGAGATTCGCTTTAGATGGTTTGGTCACATAAACGGCGGCCTTCTGATGACCCGATCAGGAAAGTAAATGTATTAGATTTGATTTATGTTAAGAAAGGTAGAGTTGACCTAAAAGTACTTGGTTAGAAAAGATTAGAAATGACCTTGCTTTATTAGATTTAGATGAGAATTTGACTTTTAACATGATACAATAGAGATAATGGATTTATGTAGCTGACCCGACAGTGGGATAAAGACTTGTTGTTGTTGTATTAAATTGTGAGCGTAACTTCATATTTTACTTTTTTGGGCTTTTGTTAATGTGGTATTGTCTAATGTCACCTTACAAGTGAAGGGTATCTTTGATAAAGGGCTGATATCAATTTATTCTGGTACACTGTTTTGCTAGTAAATAGTAATCCAACGGTCAAAGTTGGGTAATAAACCCTATCAGGGTCCTATTTTGTCGTTCAGTTGCCCAGTCCAGTTAATTAGCAGCTTTTTTTGGTTATTAGAGAACCTTGGTGCGTGGTGTGAAGGTTTTCTATTAAGAACCACAGGTTTTATCGTCAAAAGTATTCCCTAAAAAGGATTATATTTTGGTTGAATTTGATTGAATGGTTTCATGTCCCAGCACAATGTTTTGGTTCAAGACTTGCGAAGCTCAAATATGCTTCAAATGAAGTGTTATGACTAAACATTTTTTGTAGTTAGCCTTCAGCATGGTTTTATATGCCTCAGACTCATTTAAGTTGATCAAGAAAGGCTATTGTCTTGGCATCATTTTCAATGAAAGGCTATTGTAATGATGGATGAGTGTACTTTCATGCGATGGTCTTGAACTAAATGTTGTTGTTGTTTTGGATCAATAAAAGTAGTGTCAAAATTTTCTATAAAAAATATCACACAGTAAAATAAAATATCATAAAAATTTTAAGGGCCAATAAAAATAAAATTGTTATTGATTAAATTACACAGATATTTTAATATTTTTTCAGGTGTACTTGATTGTTGACAACATACCAACATCATCATTAATCATCATGATTGATTTATGTTGACTATAAAAAAAATGAAGAAGAAAGAAAGAAAAAAACAAAACAAAGCAATATGAAGCAATTTACCTGTCGTCGGCCCTACCTCGAACGATTTTCCTCCAAATGAAGCAACCCTTCGATCAAAATAAGGTAACCACCCGCTTATTCCTTTAAAATGATCGGTAGGAGCGATCGAAGAAAAAAAAAAAGAGAAACGGATTGCGTGGCTTCTTCGACTCCTTCGTGCTGTTCGGTCTCGTTGCTTCGCTCGAGACACAGAGGTTGCACACCTCGCTTCTTCGACTCTGACGTTGCTGTTCGACTTCGTTGCTTCACAAGAGGTGTCTAGGGTTCATGATGTAGAACGGGTATGGGGGTGGGAGAGATTTGGAATTTGAATTAATTAATTCCCATAATGGGATCTCCAATTAGAGAATTAATTAATGGAGGGGAATTAGAGGGAATATCGAAAGGGGAGGGGCCGACCATAAGTGGAGGTCATTAATTGGGATTTTATTTAAAAACTTTCCTAAAATAGATCAATCTATTTTAGGAATTTATTCAAAATTCAAAATTGAATTGAATAAGTAATATCAAAGCTTCCCAAATGAGGGTGTATAGAAAAGGAAAATTGGCTTCAATCAAGAGCAAGAGGGGGGAAAGGGCGGCGGGTAGGAAGGGGGCCGGCGGGTAGGAAGAGGGAGAGGGGGAATTGGGGAAAGCTTTTGTTACTTGCCTCTTTAGGAATCCCAACTTAAGGAAAGTAAATTAATTTCAATCTAATTTATTTGTTAATTTGAATTAGATTGGAGGAGTTTCCTAAAATAGAATCCTATTTAAGGAAACAATTCAAATTCAAATTTGGATTGCGGGAATTGAATGGAAATATTTCCCAAATTAATTTTGCATGAAAAGGAAGGAGAAAAAGAGGGAGTTTAATGAGGCATTCAAAGCTTTTCTAAATTAAGAAATTAAATTTGGAATGAAAGATTTCATCCCAATTTTAATTCAAAATTTAAATAGACTATGAATTAGTAAGTTCCCTAAAATAGGATTTATAAATTAGACAACTATTCAAATTTAAATCTATTGAATTTGATCTTTAAGATAGTTACCTAAAATATGAAAACTAATTTAGGAAAGACTTGATGTCATGTGGGGATGGGAAGAAACTAAGGGGAGGGCCGGCGGCTTGTTGCTTGGCCGTGAGTGGTGGTGGAGCTAAGGTCATGGGGAGGGAGAAGCGGAGGCCAGTTTTGTGGAAGTGGAGGGGTTTATGGGAGAATCGGCTGGTGGAAAGTGGGGGATTTTGACCGACGGTCAAGGGAGGTGGAGAAAAGGTTTTAGGAAAAGAAAGATACAACCGCGAGCCCGGACACATCCTTCAGCTGACGGGTACTACGTTTCCATTCACCAAAGGATTTCAGGCCACGAGCCCGGACACATTTTGCGGCTGACGGAAGCTACGAATTCCTCCCGTAGGAATCTCACCCAAGGTTCTTTCCAAAGAACACAAGTGCAAACACAAAATTTTATTAATCATCCAACATTACATTACACAAGCAAGGGCCTCTATATAGAGGCCTAAGAAACTAAAGCAAGACACATACGCCCCTAGGGCTTACATAGGAAGACTGATGTAGGACTACAATGCATGTAATAACTTGAAAAGAACTTGCATGATTTATTGATTAGAATAATAAATATTATAATTATTAGTAAGTAAAACGACAAAATAAAACGTAAGAGCAGTCACTTCCGTTTAGGCTAAGTTGCACAATAAGAGCTTTGAATCTTCAAAATAATATAGGAAATCAACAACATGCAAATATAATAGCTTTCAACGAAAATTCTTTATCTAACAATAAGATTATAAACAAATGAAGTGCACTCAATCCCTACGTTTACTAAGCTCGGCTGAGTTAGATGAACACGATCTTCATGACTAAAATCAAATCACAAGGAAGAGGGTTAGACTTTAAGAAATGCAAGAAGAGGAAGATTAGAAGACCTTCATCAAGGATCGGTTGTAATCCTCCACTGGACGATACTAAGTTGCTCTTCAATAGACTTGATCAAGGTGTCCAAGATGCGCTCTACGTACTCTTCTACGGTGTGGTCGATGCGCGGGTTGACGTCAAAGAAGGTCGAGTGCAGGATCTAAACAAATCCATGCTCGTCGTAGGAGAGGCTGTAATCAAGTTCCGGATCGGTCATTCATTTGTTTGTTGTGTGTAGTAGTATTGGCGACGTCCTTCACGGTTCCTAGATCTCTTGATAGAAAGGGGGTCCTCAGATGAAACAAGAGAGAAGGAGAGGAGAAGGGTTCAACCAAAAGGGGGAGCCACACATGGGGTTAGGGTTAGGTTGGAGGAGCTAATTAAATTCAAAATTCTAATATAAATTTCAAATTTTGAAATTGAGAGGGAAGTGAAATGGGTGAATTTGAATTCAAAATCTGACCAAAATTATGGCAATCTAGAATATGAAACAAATCCAACAGAGGGCAAGGGGCTAGGGGCCGGCGCCTTGCTTGGGGTTCGGGTAATGGAACTGACGGCTAGGTGGAGGTGGTTTGGGGAATTAGGTGAGAGGTGGGGGTGAGGGATTTGTTTCCAAAATCAATTGTTAGATTTTGGAAAGTAATTAGGAGTTATGGGATTTGGAAATTTCGGCCAAGGAGGGAGCATGAAATTTGGAATTATTTCCAAAGTGGGGAATTGGGTTTTAGGAAAGAATTCCTAATCCAACTCTATAGGGGGACCGGTGGCATTGATGGCCATGGGGGAATTAATGGGAGGGATTAAGGGTTTCTTAATTTGGGTTTAAGAAATAGGAAAAGCATTAATTAAATCCAAATGAATTTGAAATTCAAATAGGCTTTAATTTGGAAACTTTCCTAAAATAGATTTTATAATTTTAGGAAAGATTTTGAATTTCAAATTGGGTGAATTTGAATTCAAAATCTGACCAAAATTATGACAATCTAGAATATGAAACAAATCCAAGAGAGGGCAAGGGGCCGGCGGCTTGCTTGGGGTTCGGGTAATGGAACCGACGGCTAGGTGGAGCTGGTTTGCGGAATTAGGTGGGCGAGAAGAAGGGAGTTTGGGTGATGATGAAAGTTTTGGAAAAGGTGGTGGAGGGGAGGTAAGGCTGGTGGTGGTAGGAGGGGAGAAAGAGATAGAAGGTAGAACCACGAACCCGACTCATCTTGGTTGGTGGGTGATGCACAATTCTCCCTCACCAAGGGATTTCACTCCAATCTCTCAAGCGCTCATGAGAGTTCAAACAAAGAGAAGTAAAGTTTTCAAACAATCATTCATTCACCTCAAAAGAAGAACACTAGGGCTATATAAATACTCTCGTATAAACTCAGAAAAATAAAAGGATGACAATGCTCCTAGGGCTTACATACGACTTCCCTTAATAAAAGGGTACAACGGGAAACTAATAAAGCAAACTAATAAAGAAAATACAATATGACATAATAAATAAGAAAATACATAAAAGAACTCATAAATACAATGACTCAATTGTGGTCGTAGATCAACGACCACGTCTCTGATAGACTCTCCACGATCTGATGTCCCCATCAACGACCCTCTTAAGTAAGGGTAAAAATGGAAAATTCATAATAAAAATAAATATTACAAATAACAAATTAAGATAAGGTGGAATGATCTTGGCCGTCGATCGTCATCTCCTCCTTTAAAAATCTTCATGATCGGATGTCCGCATCAGTTCACCTTTCATCTTCTCTTTTTGTCGGTGCTGTTCGGTTTTGTCACTTTGCAAGAGGTGCAGAGATTGCATGTGTCGCTTCTTCCGATCCTTCGTTGCTATTCGGCTTCGGTTCGCAGGAGGCGCAGAGATTGCACCGCCTCTTCTTTGGTTCCTTCGTGATTGTTCGACTTCAACTTCTATGTTGCCATTCGATTTCGCTCTTTCGACTCCCTTTTACTTTCTAACTTCGTTGCTTACCAGGAGGTATAGAGATTACATGAGTCTTTCTTCTGCTCCTTTGTCGCACTTCGACTTCGATCCTTCGACGACTACCCTAGCCGAACCCAACCATGCCCTATTGGACTCCTCTCTCCCTCTCTATTATATTATATCTTATATGTTATATGTATATTATATCATATAAAGTTATATAATATTATGAGTGCTTGGGCTCACGGGAAGTAAGGACTCCAGGAAATCTGATTAATTGCAACCTGACTTAAGGGAAATGGAATCCTATAGCTACAAAGCGGGTTTTATGCATACGTGCCTTTTTTTTAGCCAACAATTTATTATCACCAATTTTTATTTTTCGCATAAAAAGATAAAAAATAAGTGTACATAATCTTCAAAATGATCTCAAAGAAAAACACATTTATACATCACTAATTGTCCCAAAGCACTTGAAAACATGATCACTATCACTTAACAATTAATCAATAAAGCCATCATCATCAATAACAAAATATAGTTTCCAAAATTTTGCTAAAAAAACACACATCATCATCATCATCACGTGCCTTAATGTTGGAATAAATATATTAGACATGATTTTCATCATGTTGAACATATGTCGCGAAATGCTTGTGCCATACACGATTATGAAAAGCTTTTTGAAGTGGCTGTTCTTCATAGGCCATTGGCCTTAGTGAGAAAGATGTTGAGTTTAGAAGAGGATGTTTCATGCTGCAGAGGGTCGGTGAATTGCAAGTTGCAAAATGAGTAGCGAATGGAGGGTAAGAGAACGAAAATAGTATTTTTAAGTTTTATCATAAAACTTCGTTCGTCATTTGTTTGTCTTACCGAGTTTTGATTTATTATGTATTTTTATATTGTGGAAAAATTTTGTAACAAATTTGTTTAAAAATAGCCTATCTTTCTTATTTAATTTAATGCCTAAATAAGCTAATCTTTATGAAAAAATCAATCTCCATCAATTCCACCTCCATTTAATCTCTCTCCGTCAATTTTGCTTCCATCAATCTTCCACTAAGCTAGACGTCCTTCACTTTCCTTAGTCACTTTATGTTACCTCAGTTATCCCTAGGATTATTAGTGCCATCTCATCAATTCGTGGATTATTTTAAATTGTTTACGATTATTATTTTACCATTTCATAAATCCATGAATTATTGTAATTATTCTATAATTTGACCTTTAATAGGACACAATGGAGAAAAATGATTAATGTAGCCGACCCCACGTAGTAGGATAAATGCTTGATGTTGTTGTTGTTGTTGTATTCTATAATTTTCATTCCCTGATTTTATATGTTTTCTATTAGAAGCTCTCATAAGATTGTATAAATAATGCACAAATGTTGGAATGAAACATTCAACCATTGGTCCCAAATTCTTGTCATCCATGAATTTTAAATTATAAAAAACAATTACAAATTTCATAGTGAAAAATAACCTGCTAATTATTATTAATTTTGCACAAGGAGTTGTAATTTTGCTAGTGTTATCGATGTAGTGGCAAAATTTTGTAGCAAAAATATTGCAAATGTCATAGCCCCCGCCCCCCAAAAAAAAAACCACAAGTCTATTAATTTGGCGTATTAGTGAGCTACAACATTTCTACAGATATTGCATCTATACCCAAAAAAAAAAAAAAAAAAAAAATGCAGAAAATCGGCTGCCAAGTATAGTAAATTTTGTACTTTTTGGTCAATCTTGGGCCGATGGGTACCAAAGTAGTAGCTAATTAGCAACAGATGTTTTCCAAAAGCAGTTTTTGTGGCTAATTTGTACTTGTGTAGTTAAAACTTAATCATCGCTTCAAGAGCTCCCTCCATTGTGCACTTAGAACTCAGGATGGTTCTTCTTGTCTTCTATCTTATATTTTCTGTTGTTGTTTATTAAGTTTTTCGTATATCAGTACAATTACTATTCTTGCTATTTCCTTTGCCATTCTTATCTGATATTTTCTTATTTTAACTTTCCCAGGGGAAATAATATGATCTTTAATTGTCATTTAGGAGAAATGGATGGAAGTATTGGGATGTGGAGTGACTGAGCAGGAGATATTGGAAAGAAATGGAAAAATACATTCTGTTGCTTGGGCCTTTGGTCTTGGTTTGGAACGATTAGCAATGGTTCTTTTTGATATTCCAGATATTAGGTTGTTTTGGTCAACCGATCAGCGGTTTACTTCCCAGGTACTCTAAGCTTTTTTATTTCTTTAACAATATCTTTTTCTGTCTCTCGAGAAAAATTTCAAGAATTATTTACTTGCATTGAATTTCTAAGTTCTAACCAAGCTTTTCTTGAGTATAGTTCTCTGAGGGAAAGCTTGGAATCAAGTTCAAACCATTTTCCAAGGTATGGCATATAATAAGCTGTGCAATCTTGCATTCAGTTTTGGAATTTAATTAGTTAATTCGTTCTTTTGGCATTGAAATAGCAAACCAATGGTGTTGCAAGTTAGCCATAAGCTGGAATTAATGTCATGATCTTCTATAATGCTATTTTGTTTGCACTCGAACATTCGCTCAATTCAAGCAACATACTTTGCATGCAACCTTATGAGGCAGAATGCTACCTTTTTTTTTTTTTGAAGAAATGCAAATTGCATTAAGATCATGAAAAAAAAAAATATTACAAACTAAAACTGAACGAAACTATTAGGCATACCTTTCATAATATAAGAAAAGGAAGCCTTGTTGAAAAACAAATAGAGCATAAGAAAAATATTTGCAAAATAGAAAATATCATATTTAGTGGTTACTGGTTAGATAGGGTTTGTTGGGAGGGATTATCATATGAGATAGACCACTTATCAGAAGTTATTATCTTTTTATTAGATTTTCTTTATTTTATCGAGTGAATCCATAAGGTCTTTTATATAACCTTTTATCATTAATCGTATCATCAATAAAGTTCATTTCTTTTCCGAAAAAATCCAAGCTGCCTCCTTTCTTTCCTTATCCGAGGATGCTCCCTCTCCTCTCTCTCAAAACCCATGTTGAACTTTCTTTATCAGCTCCTCTCCAAACTGAGAGGTGCAAGAGGATATTGAAACATGGGAAGTTCAAAGAGGTGAAGGACGAAGCTTTATCAAGAGAGGATTATATAAGTGGTGAGAACATCAAATAACCGTTATATTAATCTCCAACCTCTCTCTGAGTAGTAATGTAATCCCTGTGTTTGCTAAGGTTAGATCAATTTCTCTCCCTTTTCCTTTGGTTGGCCAAATTTTACAAAGATCCCTTGGAAACTTGTTAATGCTAATTCCATCAACCAGCGAAGAATAATCTCTTATTATTCCTTTGTTAGATTATTGATTGTCTTGGACGATTTGGTTGCAGCCTTCTTCTAGCCACAACTTAGATAATATTTGCATTCTAAACTCCAGTATCATATTAAGTCCATGAACTTTGTTATCCCAGTCAGATGGCTAGGCTTTAATACCTTTTGATGGATTTGGATCACAAATTAGTATCACAGCATTGATTCCTAGTTTAAGAATTGAAAGGCCTTTCTTTCTTTAGATAATTGCTAAAATTAAAACCACAATCCAAATTTCTGTTAATGCTAAAAAGCTGATAACAGGATTAAGAGAATCTTTTGAGTCATCATTAGAGAGTCTGGAAAATAGATTTACTAAATTTTGGAGAATTATGTTTCATCTCCTTAAGCGAATGGCCATTTAGAAGACATGCTCCCAAAATTATTATTTTTGCATCTCTCAAAATATCCTCATATGCTTATATGTAGTGGAACTTTGAGTCTAAGAGCTATGACCTATCTAGAATTGCATGGTTACACTTTAAAGGACTAATTAAATCTTTTTTTATCCTATCAACTATGAAGAGTCAATGGATCAAGTGGCACAACTGAGATATATATGCGAGCAATCTGTACAGGAGCATACCACTGAGTTCTTCAGGCAAGCATTTGCCTTGGTTACCTTGCAAAAGAAATCTATTTTTTTATGGAATATATAGTAGGATTGAATGGAATCAAGGAGAAATGAAGTTTCCATTGAGGAATATTTCTAAGGCAAGCTCCAAGACCATTACTATAGAGGAGAACTAAGTTAACCAAAGCAGCGAAAGACAGTAGATCCCTCAATTTGTGGTCCCAAAGAAGACAAGCATGAGGAAAATAAGCAAAGGAGACTTTATTACTCTCACTAAAAGTTTTAAGGCCGCTTGGATTAGAATTATTAGAAAGCACCTTGAAAAGAGGCCAAGGCAAGAGGAGGCTAAGAAGAATCATTTTCACTAATGATGATGTGGTGAAATTGTCAGGAATGTGGAGAGCCAAAGCCTCAATTTTGATGGCAAAAAGGGATGACCAAAAGAGTAGCATTTCAATCTGAGGTAAGCCAGTGTATTGTAAGTAGTATTAAATAAAAGTTCAAAATAGTCCTTCAACTATTAGTAAATATCCAATTTACTCCCAAACTTTTATGATGATCCAATTTAGTCTTCGGACTATTAGAAAATGTTCAATTTGATCTCAAAGCCAAAAGTAATAGTTAAAATTAACCCCAATAGTTCAATGTGAGGGCATTTTGGATATTATTGTATATATGAGATTATATAAATTTTTTATATTTTTTGTTATTTATCACATTAAAATAAATAAAAAATCATAATGGAAGTTAAATATGATTAACTTTCATTATGATTTTTGTATTTATTTTAATGATTGTAAGAAAAAAATTGATAACATCTACTTCTATTTTAATGATTTTAACATTATTGAAATGATTGTAAGAAAACAATATTGTAGATTAATATTGAAATGATAACATCTACTTCTAACTAGTCATTTTTAATACATTTCATTAAAAAACTTGTGAAATGTTTGAGTCATCAACTTATATGATTATTGATAATAATTAAGCATTTAAAATATAAAGTACATAATACTATAAGATTTATCAAAAGAAAGGCAACTGAAAATTTAAATTATTTATGTTGAACTGTATTTGTTTCATTACGGTTTTGTTTTTTTTTTTTTTTGAAAATATTAATTGCATGATCGAAATTAAACAATTTTTCACTTCAAGTAATAGCCTAAACAAAACAAATAAAAAACAAAAACAAAAAAATAGGAAGTAAAATTGATCCAAACACCCCAGCATTACATCTAACATTTCAGATTACTGGGGTTCGCATCAATATGAAAGGGACTTTTTGATGAGACAGTAATCTTGAAATGGGCTCCAATCAGAGAAAAAAAAAAAAATACTAACATTACTGTCAGGTTTTTCGAGTGTGGGAAAATTTATTTTACATTTAAAGTTATCTTTTCTACATTTTCCATTCTATTTATTGGTCACAATCAGCTACAAGTGTTGGTAATACTCTCTCAACAAGGAGAAATATCTGAATTTTGTAGTAGCAATATCAAAAGCTTGTATCTAGAAAGTTTGCGGGAAACATTGTCTGGAGGGCTCGTAAAATTATGGGGAAGACTTTATATTGTAAGGGACTTAATCATTCATATATTGCTCCTAATTTTTTGAGCCCTAAGTTGTCTTTTCCAGTAAGTTTGATTTATTCTGTAAGACAGCAAGGATTGGTTTGTAGCAAGTGTCGAGCTCACTTACTATTTTTAGCTTTGATATGATGTTATTTTACCATAATTTCCATTTGGAAATAAGCAAATTATTCGAACTTCTTACCTTACGTTTCTGAAAGTAAAGTTTGATATGATATTAAACTTAATTTATCTTCCTATTAATTGTCCAAGAACTTATTCACTTTTCTTTCTGACTATGTGAACATTTTTCTCTTTGCAGTATCCTCCATGTTACAAGGATATGAGTTTCTGGATAAGCGACTCATTCACGGAGAATAATTTGTGCGAAGTTGTGAGAGGAATTGCCGGAGATCTTGTGGAGGAGGTATGCCTGAGTGCCATTTTCTGCTTGCTTAACTTCTTTATCTCTATATTTTCTTTATGTGAATATTATAACTACAGATGATGAATCACACATGATTATGCACATGTAAAAAATGTGTTGTTCTCAATAGTAATCCTCAAAGGCCAAGTCAAGATAACTATTAGGCTTTTGAACTGGTGTAGGTTCCACAGATGGCTAATTTTTTGAATTGACAAAAATTTGCGAACTTTTGGAATTTTGAAAAATGGTCTATAATGTGGTGTCATCATGCTAATATATTTTTGGATGAGATGGGGGGAGAAAATCATATTTGTAATCATCATATTGCCTATATTGGTGATATCATTTGTTTTTTAATGAGCCAACCACTCATCATAGGAATATTGGTGTACCTTTAAGTTATAATATGTATGAGATTCCCAAGGATTAAAATGATATTTGTGATTGTAATATGACTCATTGTAATCCATTATAGTTATCATAGAAGAATTATGATCATATGTGTAATCATTTGAGTCATACATAATAACTGTTTGATCCCGTAACAATTTCATATTTTCATGTAAGACCTCCAGACAATATTCCACTAAACATTGTACTTGATTTGTGAATTTTATACTGACGATGAGCCTCTTTTTACCCAAATCTGAAAGTTATTCATAAAATTGCTCCAAACTTAGATGCTTATGAATTTGATGAAACATGCCAACAAGTTTGTAACATTGATATCAAAATAAGGAGAAATTGCTAGCTCCACAGGCAAATTTAAATGTTTGTGATGGATCTTTTAGTCATGATCTTTCAGGCTTACATTTGTAAAAACCAGAGTGGAATAATATTATCTAATTATTATTCCATCTATTAATTACAACTCACATTTGTACAAAAAAACAAGTCTAACAAGACAAAAAAAATACAGTTAATCTAAATTTACACACAAGGTTGGTTGATTATAGCCTTCTAAAATTGGTAAAGCCAATCATTTTTCTTTCCATAAAATTGTGAGGGGATAAGACTGAAACACTAAAGATGTGAGCAACGATGGATTGTCGGTTGTGGCAAAGATGGAAAGCCAGTTGGGTTTGAAGTTGGTAAAACCAAGTAGAAAAAAGAGAATTGAATGCAGTCATTATTTTCCCCACAAGCAAAATGCGGACAACCCCAAGAATCGGCACAAGTTCCTTCTATGAAATATTTGATTTTACCCCACTTCAATACCAAGAAGACCTTCCAAATCTGCCAACACTCCCCCTTATGCTTAGGAATATATATTTATAATCCCAAGTTTGCCAATCATACTTTCAAAAGCATGTTTATTTAGTATTTTTGTGAGAACATCTACTTGTTGATGATGAGTTGGGATATTTTTCTCATTTAAAAAAGCTACAAGCAATAGATGAGTAGCATTTGTACCCTTTTTGTAGTAGAGAATTCCCAACAAACTGTTAAATACTCTTTTGCAAACTTTTGGGTCAATGTTGTATTAGGCAGGCAGATAATTGCGTGCATAGGTGACACACCTAAATATTCTTGGCACAAAATTAATCTACGATATTATTTTTTATTTCTATTTAAATGTTTCCTAACTTTGAACACATACCTGTAAATATTGTCTTACCATAGTGATATAAATTACATCAGATATTTTTATAAAATCTTCTTTCCATTTGTTTTTGTTAAAATAGATTAGAAGTAAATGATTACTCATATAAGGTTTCAGGTGCGGTTGATTGATAACTTCACAAATAAGAAGGGAATGACCAGTCACTGCTACAGAATTGCTTACAGGTCAATGGAACGCTCACTAACAGATGAGGAGATTAACCAGCTCCAGGTCTGTAGAATTTTTTTTTAAAGTAAAATTTTAAATGATTTAGGTTTCGTTTGGGATAGGTTTCTTATTGCTTTATAAAACAGCTTTTTAGTATAAAATGAAGGCTCTGTTGACAACTTTCTTACTGTTTCTTAAAATAGATTCTTAATACAAAAGTTTAAATTTTTATACTTGGAAGCTGCTTTAAGAAGCAACAGTAAAAAAGTCGTCCCAAACGAAGCCGAAATCTTAATTTGGAACTAATTTCCTTTCTCTTCGTGAGTGCAGGGGGATGTGAGGGAGGCCGTTCAAAGCAAGTTAAAAGTCATTCTCAGATAAGAGCTTTAAATTGTATTCCATTATTATCTTGCAGCCATTATTTCTATTATCCCATGTTGTAACGTTCAAAGTTGAATATTAAGAGCAGGAGTGCAGCTGTTAAAAAAAAAAGAAAAAACTACTTGTTTGTTAGCTGGAGTTCAATTAGTTTTTATAAACCCGAGTATCTAACGAGTCAGATGTGAATAAAGTCCTGTTTAATTGTGCCTGGCTCGATAATAATTTGATTATATCAGGGACTTCAAAGCCAAAAACAACCAAAGCAGCACGAAAAAAAGAAAGAACGAGAGGAGAAGCTTCAACTTTGATTTAGGTTTCGTTTTAGACTACCTTCTTACTGCTTCTTAAAGCAAAGTAGTTTTCTAATACAATTTTTGTACTAAAAAGCTGCTTTAAGAAGTAGTAAGAAAGCCTTACCAAACGAAACCTTGGGCTTACCTTTTTGTAAGAAGAATTGTACTAAAAAGTTGTTTTAGAAAGCAACAAAAAGTTATCCCAAACGAAATCTTAAATGAGTCGCATACAGCATACAGATTTCTTTTTTTTTTTTTGTTGTAAATGTTTGAGTAAAATTTATAGAAATATGAGCAAGAGACATGCGAGCACAGCAATCTGGCAAGGTCCAGCTTCAAAGAAACAGTTGATTCTACTGTAGTACAAGGTCCGACAATGGAGAATTCATTATGAGGAATTGTGTACGATCTCAGAAGTTCAACAAGTGAACCTCTCAGAATGAGCACGAATTACTAGGTCAGGTCACCGAATGTGTTCGGAGTCTAATAAAAATGCGTCACATCACCTCCTACTCGGTACTGTGCTCGGTATAGAGCTCGATATTCGATACTTCACAGTACCGAGTACCGAATATAAGCTGTATTCAGTGACCTGACTCAATAATCTCTGCTTATAAATACTGCAGACTTTACCATCTAACACAAATACTAGTATGGTGGTTGTAAGATTATACTACGATTAAAATTTTGTTTGGGGCAGCTTTTTTAGTGTTTTTTAAATCAATTTTTTATTACAATTTTTTTTTTGAAAGCAGTAAAAAAAACGGTCAAAAGCTGTTCCAAATAAAACTTAAGAGTGATAAACATCTAAGCACAAGTATGTTATTTCACTCTACACAATAACACATAAAAAATTATTACATATACCACATATAAGAATTCTTGCGAGGAATTTGGTTCACATTCAATGCTCATGGTAAGGCACCATAGTGGGAAGCTAAAATCAGTGCGTATTTTTCTTCATTTTAACTTGACACCAATATTGACATTTAAAAAAAATAAGTGTTTGAATTTATTATTTTATAATTATTATAATGGAAAAAAGTTCTTTCGACTTGCACTGCATTTATTTTATAACAAATTCTAAATTTTTTAATTTATGATGATAAAATCTTGATTGGATCTAAAATCAAATATATAATTTTAGTAGTAAAAGATCTAGTGGGGGTATTGCAACTTTGGGCGATTAAGTCATTAAAAAGAGCATGTATTTTAGATATCTTAGATTTATTGTTCAAAGTGATGGTGTAATATATGAGGAAATTATTGAAAGAATTTAAGTTGGATGGTTGAAATGGAGGAATGTATCGGGCCTTTTGTGTGACATAAACATACCGTTCAAATTTAAGAGAAAATTCTATAAGAAAGTGGTGAGACATATAATATTTTATGGTGCAAAATGTTGGTCATTAAAAGAGAAACATATAAATAAGTTTAAGTGTTGGAGAGATGAGGATGCTCATGTGGTTGAGTGAGTTTACTCTTAGGGACATAATGCGAAACGAGTTTATACATGAAAAGATTGGAGTAGCTCCAGTTGCCGATAAGATTAGAGAGAGCCGTCTAAGATGGTCTGATCACATAGGATTCTAATCACTCGATTATGAAAGTAGATATATTATATTTGGCTTATATTAAGAAATGTAGAGGTAGACTTAAAAAGATTTGGCTAGAAGTATTAGAAATGACATTTTTTATTAGAATTGAAAGAGAATTTGACTTTTAACAAGACACAATGGAGAAAAAAGAAAGATGTTGCCAGTGTAAAGGCTTGATGTTATCGATGATAAAATTTTGATTATAATATCCAAATAAAATTTATTTTTCTATAAAAGTCAAGCTTACAATAAGATGAATGAAAGGATAAAGATTATTAATTAGATTTTTATTTTAACAAAGAATAAATATTAACAATAAAAATTAAAAAAATAAAAAATATAAAATTTTTTAGGATCCCTTGCCCCCTTGAGTTAAATCCGACCAAGGATGCTATCTAGATATGAATACTATATTATATATGATTTTGAATATAAGTAATCTAAGAAATCTAATGGAACTAAAACCAAGCTTTTATGTAGCATAACATTATTATTTATCTTATTGTAATTAACACCTAATTAATCATAATTAACATTATTAGTTTTTTAATGACATGCTTGAACCATATAAAATACAAGAAAGTGCTACATGAAAGCACCTAATTATATAATCTTATGGATATTAAAATTAAGCATAAATTTCTTAATTTCAAGACAAATGTTGTGATTAACACATTAAATTGAAATTAACAAATTTAGTAAAAATAATAAAAACTTAGGATAAAAAAAGTTGATTTATTCACTAACACTAATAGTTAAACAAGTGTAAAACACAAACATTAGTACTATGATTAAGATTATACTAAGAGTAAGAGCAATAGCAATTTAGGCTTTGCTTGGGACCGCTGTCTTGTTACTTTTTAAAGATGCTTTTTAGTACAAAAATTTTTAATTTAAAAAATTTTTGTACTAAAAAATTATTTTTAAATGTAATAAGAAACTGCCCCATACAAAAATTTCTTGAACTAGAAATTTTTAGACTAGAAAGTTGCTTCAAAACATAGTAAAAAAGTCATCCCAAATAAAGCCTTAAGCACAAGTATATCAGTTTACTCTGCACAATAACAAAAGAATTATTATTGCATACACCACGTAAACTTTCAAGTAGGCTGTACTTATTATTTATCAATTTTCTCCAAGAAATGGATAACAATCCTCACAAGTAGTAGCATAAATTAAACCACTTATCAAGAAGTTGAAATGATTACTAAAACAAAATTGAATGTCCAATAAAAAAAAAAACTTATTGCAATCATTACTTCTAAAGACTAACAAGGCTTGATTAGTGAAGGGCAATCATACATGATCAAATATGATTAGGCTTAATACCCCAAGGGGTAGTTATGCCAAAAATTAATACTTTCTTTGGTATATAAAATCTCATACAATATTTAGCCAAATTCAAAGCTACTTGAGGCAACATTGGTGGAAATGATGCTTTGTTGTTTTGCTAATTCATCAACAATTTCACTATTACTATCTTTGAATGATATGTTAAGTTACCTAATGACTTAGTTGAAGTATTTGTGAAGCTTTAAATAAAATTTCATTAAGAATTTCATCAATGTCATAAAAAAAGATGAATATTGTAAATTTCGTCCTTGAAAAGCGAAGAAGGGACAGGGCCACACTAAATATGTCATAGCATATTAAAAATCTCAAAATTTCAAAGAATATTAAACAATTGATCAAAATTCTCTTTATTATAAAAAAAGTTTCATTGAAAAAATTCTTCTAAATTGAAACCTGACTCAAAGCTCTTTGCTCCAAGGAAGTCCTCTATTGATTATATAGCTTTGAAAATTTGAGAGATGTTATGTTTGCATCATTTTTGAAGACTGGAAGTAAAAAAATGTAATAAGATGAGGAAGCTAAGTATTAAAACTCATTGGCTTATTAACTACCTCAATTAATTTGAGCAACCACTGTAATGAATAATCATACTTGGAAAATCTTGACCCAAAATTAGGGGAAGTGAGAGACGTGTCTAATCAAAAGGTTTTATGGTAGTTGGAGCTAAGAAGAATGCTATACATCCCATGGAACCTTCTTCCAATCCAATCTAGAGGATTTTGAAGTATAGCCTTCTCAAGCTTTTAACAAACCATGATATGTGGCATCACCATTCATTGAATCAAAGGATGAGCTCTATTTCTTTTATGAGGAACATAGTCCAAGCCTTAATAAACCTCTTTATATCTCTCAACCTAAACTCTTACAAGTCACGAATGTGATGCACATTACCTTACAAGTGAGGCTACAATGCTAATTTGGATGTGGAAAAAATTGTGATGCAAGCGAGGTTGCATAAATGATCTTATAAGAAACATTTATGGCATACATGATATTGTAACATATGACATACATGATGTAGCATAAGTGAGATTTTGGTGTAGGTTAATTCAATATTAAATTGAATTGATCTAAAATACAACAATGTGCTAAAACATGTATGCATATCAATTTTGATTTCAAATCCATTATAAGTCAAAGTTAGTTCAAGCTTCTTTCATTTGGAAAAATTTGAGGAGAAATTATTACATGCGGACTCCGAATGTAGAGTTGTGTCCAGACTCCAATGAAATGTTCACACGCTGTCAAAATATAATTTTTTATATTACTGTGTATTTGTTGAGTATTTATTAAGTATTTATTGCATATTTACAGAGTATTTACTGTATATTTAATACTCAGTAAATACACAATAAATCCTTAGTAAAAACTCAATAAATACTCAGTAAATGAGCAGAGTCTTGACGTAACTCTACGTCCAGACTCCACAAGTAATAATTTATTAAATTTGAGAGCCTTAGCTCAATATCTTAAATAATACAAGAATACAAAATTATAATGTCAAAATGTAAAGGGAGAACTCCATAAATCAAAGAAATAAATACTTAAAAACTTAAAATTACACGCGCAAGCAAGAAGCTTGCATAAATGCCAAAAAAAAGAAAAAAAAAAAAGAAAACAGTTACGTTACATATTGTATCAACATGAATTGACATGAAGAGACTTAATAAATAATACTAATCAAGAGAATCATTAAGCTCAAATATAAGATTAGAGTATCAAATTTAATATCCTCCATTAGGGAACAACAAAATTTCCTCAAAATTGTGGAGCTTAAGAATTATTATTATTGAGTAACAATTAGTCTAATATAAAAAATTAAGTCCATAAATAAAGAACAAAATTATTAAATAATTAATCAAGCATTTCTTTCATACCAAATATTATAAATTATAATAAGAGATGAACCACAAGTATTTGATAATAGAATTGCATAAGAGAAAGATATTTTATCAAACTAATGAAACTAATGAGAAAGTGATGTCATTTGGAAGGTAAGATACAATTAAGCTAATTACAAAACAAAAATTTAAAGAAGAAATAATTAATTATGATCTTCAAATTTTATATTATTGAGAGAGACTTTGACATTGAACTTCAACCTAATTATTCATTGAATTTATTTTAAAATAAATATAATATAATTTTTAATTTATCAACAATAAATAAATTCATTATTTTTTAAATTCAATTTTATTTTTATAAATATATATATTTTTTGAAGAAATATGGGTTAACATATTTTTATCAAATTTAAAATTAAAATGAAAATTAAAATTATTAAAAAGAGATTAATTAATTTATGGAGTAAAAAATATTTTAATATATAATTATAATAGATTTCATTTAAAAATTTGATAAATAAAATTTATGATTAAAAATATATAAAATGAAATATAATAAAGAATATATTAGATTTTTTTTGTTGTTAAAAAATAGGATTTGGTTACTCCATTTTGATGTAAGTTTTTCGGTTGGAGATGCCCTTACTCTCCTCTTAGGCCAGAGATTATTACGTGCGAGAATGGAGAAGGTGCCAAATAAATTCTCCTTTTTAGCGCCCTTTCTTCCCGATCGGCTGGTGATTCGATCGCCGGAGAAAAGGAGAGGATGGCGGCTGAAGCGGCGGTAGATGCCGGCGAGTTGAAAAGAGGGGCGATTGTGGTGGGAATCGATGACAATGAGCACAGTTTCTACGCGCTTCAATGGATACTCGGCCACTTCTTCGCCGGCGGGGGCGCTGGTTATAAGCTATTCGTCGTCCACGCCAAGCCCAACCCCACCTCGGTCGTCAGCATCGGGGGCCCTGGTATATTTTGCTATTTTATATATGTTTTTGTTTATTTTGTTTGATTACTTGTTCTTTCTTCATTGTGGGATTCATGTGTCAATTTTCTTCAGTTTAATCGAAAGTGCTTTATTATTATTTTTATTTTTGGTGAAATCTCATAAGCCGTGGGTTTTTATTTTTTTGGCTCTGGTTTTTGCAGTTTTGTTTGAGTGCTGCTCGATATGATTTTTTTTTTAAATCATTACGACGTGCTTTGATCGGCTATTTACTGTTTTTCTACTACTTTTGATCTAAAAGATCACGGTATGAGAATTTTTTTTTTTTTATGATTTGTGTTGGTTTTTGTTGAAAGAGTTCTTCAGCTTAAAATAACTCCCCGGGTTTTCTTAATTAATTTTTAGCGAATATGTTGGGAAAATAAGCCGTGCTTTGCTCTCGATCTTTATGCTGGGGGATAGCGTTATTGTGTTTATTATAAATTGCCATGCCAATTTTCTAGCTAAATAAGCAGTGAGTCAAGGACGCTAAATATTTTTACATTCAGGGGTTGTTTGGCTGCAAGTAGGATTTAGCTCAAGTTGGAATTTGTAAATTCCGACTTAATAAATCCTGTGAGGTTTAAATCCTGAAAATTGTTTGACTTAACAGGTCTAATTATATCCAATAAAATCGTGCTAAACTGTTGTGCTGCTTATTCTATGTGATTGTGAGATTGACAATTAAAACATTAATAACATTCTCCTTTTCACAACGAACAACATTATTGCAACTCATCAAGGATACATGATAAAAATCTGTTCTAACATACAATGCATTTTAGCATGATGACTACAGAAAGCAAAGTTCTCTATTAGAATATGAATGCTAAAAAAAATACCGAATAAATTTGAAAGGAATGCAAGGTACATCATGTGTAACAAGCATCCAATTCTTGTATATTTCTTCTATTGCATGTTTCTATATTGGGTGAGTTTCTTATACTTGTTTGAACCAACTCACATTTTCAGGTCAACAGAACAGTGATCCAAATTTAAAAAAAAAAACCTAATGCAAATTAAATAAGAATCTTTGGTGGGTGTTCCAAGGCATTGTTTTGGAGTTGTTTGCCTTAGGCATATCGGTAAAATCTTTGAGATTGCTTTGTAAGAATATAAAACATATTTTAAACAAATATTATACATATTTATTTTATGTATGTAGGCATCATTGTTCATATGAATGCAAATGCATATAAATAGGTTATTTTCTACCGACATATTAAAAAAAAAAGAAAAACTGATTTTCAATATCTGCGTTTGGATCATTTTCTTAGTGAAATTTTGGTAGACATAAGAATTGATGAATATATTTTCTAATTCCATTCTATTGCCATCTGGCATTTTTAGACCCAATTCGAATGTAAAGTAGTGACAAAATCTTTCTCATTCAAGCACGCACTAATGTTGGTTCGTCATTATTGAGCCAAGTGCCAACTTTATTTTATGTTATCTTTTATAACTTTGATATGATGGCGGCCACTTCATTGTTTTTCTACGAGATTTGAAGCAGCACTGATTTAGGAGTCAAAGAGTGCGATTGATATGGGGATGCAACCGATAAGGAAAGTAGGAAGGTAGTGGGTTCAAGATGGTGGTGTGCTTGGAAGATCAGAGGTATCTTTTTTATGGAGGCACACTATTCATGAGGGGATCATGAGGATGTCATAGATGCGAGTTTCTCCTATTTTAAATTCGTTAAATTTGCTCCAATTGAGGGATTTAGTAAATCCGTGATCTACTGTGTAGCGGGGGTAACCAAGAATACCTGATTTAAGCTTTTGTGTATTTAAGTTTTTTTTCTTTTTGTTGTTTGACAATATTTATTTATTAGAAGAGGATTTTCAACAAAGGTGGATGCGATATTTCGATAAACTTTTTAATGAAAAATGTAAGAATACAATTGATTTTAGTGAACTTAGCATACTAAATGAAAATAAAGATTTTTGTTTTTATTATCGTATTAGTAAAATCGAAGTTAGATAGGTTTTAAAAAAATTAAGTGTGGAAAATTTGTTGGACTTGATGATATTCCAATAGAGGTGTGGAAATGCTTAGGAGACAAAGGAATTTCTTGGTTTATAAAACATCTTAATATTAATTTGAAGACTAAAAAGAGGCCAAATGAGTGGAGAAAGAGTATTGGTTCCTATTTTTAAGAAAAAAAAGGTTACGTATAAGAGTGTTTGAATTATAGAGGAATTAAGTTGATGTGTCATACATTAGAACTATGGGAGTGAGTTTTTGAGCATATGTTATGACATGATACTAAGATTTCTCAAAATCAATTTGGATTCATGCCGGGTAGGTCTAAAATGGAATCCATATATTTATTGAGAGGTTTGATGGAGAAGTATAGAGAGAATAAGGAGGATCTACATATAATATTTATCGATTTAGAGAAAGCATATGATGAAGTTCCAAGAGAAGTGCTTTGGAGAGCCCTAGAAAAGAAAAAAGTTAATAATGCTTATAATCAAGTCATTAAGGACATGTATGCAAAAGTTGTTACTTGTTTTCAAACACAAGGTGGTGGTTTGACTAGTATTTTTCTATTTCATTTGGATTACATCAAGGATTAGCATTAAGTCCATATCTTTTTTGCTTTACTCATGGATGTTCTTACTAGACATTCTCAAGTGGATGTATCCTGGTGTATGCTTTTTGCTCATGATATTAATCTTGTTGATAAGACAAGAGAGGGAGTTGAAGGAAAATTTGAATTATGGAGGTCAACGTTAGAGTCTAAAGGTTTTTGTTTGAGTAGATCTAAAATAGAATACATGGAGTATGATTTTAGTAATAAAAGATCTAGTGGGGGGACTGTGATTTTGGGTGATCTAATTATTAATAAGAGTACATGTTTTAGATATATTGGGTCTATTGTTCAAAATGGTGGTGAAATAGATGGGGATATTATTAGTATAATTCAAACTAGATGGTTGAAATGGAGGAATGCATCAGGCATGCTGTGTGAAAGAAAAGTACCCCTCAAACTTAAGGAAAAATTCTATAAGATGGTGGTGAGACCTGCAATGCTTTATGGCACAGAATGTTGGCCATTAAAAGAGAAGTATAAAATTAAGTTAAGTGTTGCAGAGAAGAGGATGCTCAGGTGGATGAGTGGCTCTTCACTCTTAGAGACAGAATGCGAAATGAGTATATACTATATACGTGAAAATGTTGGAGTATCTCTAATGGCAATTAATATTAGAGGGAGTCATCTCAGATGATTTAGTCACATAAAGCATCGACTCTCGGATGATCCGGCTATGAGAGTAGATTTATTGGATTTAATCTATATTAAGAAAGGTAGAGGTAGATCAAAAAATAATTGGTTAGAAAGTATTACAAATGACAATTTTCTATTAGATTTAAATGAAAATTTGACTTTTAACAGGACAAAATAGAGAAAAAAATATTTATGTAGCTGGCCGGACTTGCACAGTGATAATCAAGGCTGATGAGTTCTCAATTACATTTATGTACAGTGAGGGGCTTCAGTTACTTTTTTACTTGTTTTGTTTTCCTCCTCTTGAGCGTGCTGTTGAGGATGTGACTTTGCAATAATTATGGTTATAGATCTAGATTAAAAATTCAATGAACTTGCAATGGCTTGGTTCTGAGGAGGCAATCTAAACATTGAGATTGAGTTGCAACCTAGACAAAGTAATGTCTAGTTTCGCAAAATCCTAATATGAATATCTGGGTGTTTGGAAACCCGATGTGTTGACGTCTTAGTGCTGGAAACTAAGCACAGCTATTCATATGCCTATTTTATTGGAAAACCAAGCATAAATACTTGAGATTGGAAAACCATTGTTCTTATTTACAAAGCCTAGTAGGATTTCAACCTAGCCATTACTGCTTACGTTATTGGAAAACCAAGCATAAATACTTGAGATTGGTCTATTATAGTTGTTCTTAATTACAGAAGTGTGGTTCTCACCACTTGTGCTGGTGAAGAGGTTTATAACTGCTGGGGAATAACGAACGTAAATCTTTACAAAATATAGCAAAAACTATTGTCAGTATTTGTAAAAACTGCGAAATTAAACAATTTATTTGCAACTAGAAAAGTATTTTTCATTTTTCATCAAAAGGTCAAGCTACAGAATTTTCTCACAAAATTTTCTAAATGGGCCTATACTCGCTTGTTTAGATGTTGTTAGTCTTAACTGTTAATATAGTATGCTTATTGCTGAGTAACTATTGGATGGTAAGTCGTTAATTATATCCTGTATTTGCAACTTCATACTGAGTCGGACATTAGATAAGCTCCTAATGAAGTTATCCATTAGATTTAGTCAACTTCCTTTAGTCATAACCAGCGAGATCGACTAAATGATATGTTTAGGATTTACTAAACTAGTTAAATAATTAGTTTTTTAATTTTGCTATTTCAATTATCGATCTACCTAAAGCTCTTTTGTAGTATTTTTTTTTTATCTAAATTTGCAACTCAAATGAGTAGATACTTATCTACAATTTGATCATCAATATTGCTGAGGAGAAAATGATCAAAATGATCCCCAACTATATTAAATTATCATTTTAATCCCATAAATTTTTAAAAATGAATCAAAATTTTGGTTCCTCTTTAATGAGTTGAGCAAACTAGTCTTTTAATATAATTGGAGACTATTTTGATCTTTTATAAAGAGTCAAAGGGACAATTTTAGTCCTTTTCTCTATTTCTGAGATATAGAGTTGGATAAAGTCCCTTCTTCTTCTTCTTATAATAATTATGGACGCAGGAGCTGCAAATGTCCTTCCTTATGTAGAGTCAGATTTGAAGAGAATTGCTGCTAGGGTGATTGAGAAGGCTAGGGAGCTTTGTGTTGCTAATTCGGTATGCTACTGAGTTCTTTCTTTATACAGTTATATGTATTCTGACTTTTGGTTAATCATTTCAGGCCAATTGAACAGTGTTAATTGAATATGCTTAAATACAGTGTTAATCAAGTGCTTGAGTTTGCTTGTAATCTACTCGAACGAATTCTTTGCAAATTACTCTGCATGGGGAAGATGCTAAAAAATCTTTGAATGTTGATGGAATCTATGTACATGACTTTAGATAATTGTTTTAGAATGCTATTTTGTCTACAAGCTGGCTTGTTTGGCTCACGCATGTTAGCTATTTGGATTTATCCTGAAACCTGGAAACAAGTTTAGGTTACCGTGTGGATGAAATCATAGCTAGGTCATAAAACAGAGCCACTATCCATGGTGTGCAGTTAACCATGACTTAATACTGATTTTGTTCCTACAAGCTGTCTTGAGGATAGTCTAATTCTTACCCATGCAAAATTGCTATCCAAAATATTTAATTATTTATCAGACATTTTATAAAATAGCACCTATAGGATTTTTCTATGGAAAACACTTGTTACTTGTAGATTGCCAAATGATGAGCCAATCTTTAACTACCTTACTTGGAACTTAAACCTTGATGACTATTTTTAATACAGCATAAAGTTATACATCACTTTGTTCAAATTAAATATTTCATATGAATAAGATTTTAGCAACACAAATGAGCTGCTTGACATAAATTGCATAGGAGGCACTTAGTTAACTGCACAAAACTAGCAATGAATTATATGATGCTTCGGTATGAACCAATCTTTTGTTCTCCTTGCGGTTTGAAATGATTAAAATTGAACCGTCTTCTCTCATTACTTTTTCTTCTGTTAGTTAGCAATCTACAATGCCTCTAATCTGGGTGCTATTTGTATTGTTTGATTGCTAATATTCTTTGTTAATATTGTTCTCATAATATCTTTGTCATGCAAAGATAAAAGATGCTGTATTTGAGGTGGTGGAAGGAGATGCAAGGAACGTTCTCTGTGATGCTGTCGAAAAGTTTAATGCTGATGTGCTTGTTGTGGGCAGCCATGGCTATGGAGTAATAAAAAGGTATATTGGCTTTTGTATGCAATCCTTCAGTTCAAAATAATGATTAGTCTTTGATTCAGTTATGTACATGACATAATGAGTCAAGGTCATCGATTTATATTTTTAAGTTTTATAAAACATGCAAATTAAATGGTTTCGATTTCTTCTGTTGCTTGCCTATCTATATAATTCAAGTAAGAATAAGCTTAGCGAAAAGCTTAGGAGATTAGGTTTTAAATAGACTTGCGCTATTTGGTTTGCCAGAAAGTTATTCTAGCGTAAGTCAAAAGATACTTGGGTTAAGTTGCAAAGTTTAAGCTTGAGTAGGAATTAGTTATATTAATTCCCTGTGAATTAATCATTTAATAAACCCTAAGAGTTTGCTTGCTGCAGCGACAAATGTATTGAAATTAAGAAGAAATGGCGAGGCTGAGTGAAACTCGGGAATTTCCTGGGAAGAATATTCCAAGTGCTGTTTGACCGTTTTTCAGAAGATTGCTGTTGTGAATTTCTAATGCTAGCTTGGCTCCAGCCTCCAATTGTCAAAAAATTTATCCAACCTCATAACTTTCATAAATTTGGCTCATAATATCTTATAAGATTTTTTTTTTTCTTTTATTATATCCAACATGTCCTGTCTGTATAAATAAATGTAGTGGGAGAATTTGAAATCAATTAAGAATCTGTAGGATTAGAAATGAGAGAACTTATTGAGAGTCTCAGAGTAGGAATGACTAGAAAACTAGAAAGGGGATTCAAGGATGATTTCTTCTTGCTCCTTTGTATTGACTTAGTTTCTTCCTTAAGAAAAATTGATTAATCACTCTCAAGTCAGGAATCCATATTATTATTCTGTATGTTGTTGGACATTTTGGTCGAGTATCTTCCTACAAATCCTAGGTGTTTCAGATCAAATTTGATATGAAAGTGCTAGATTTGGAAGAATCCTGGTGATGCATCACATAATGATGAAATTTGTGGAAGATAATTAAGAAGATTGGATGGTTGGTCTCTTTCAAATGCTAACATTGCCAAATTTTACAAGGCTAAATTTTAAATAAACTTAATAGTAATTTTATTTTATTGTTGTACTTTTATTTAAAAAAATATAATTATATGTTGTTATGTTGAAATATTTGTGATTTATGGTATTCAGTGGTGTAATGTATTCAACACAATGGTGCCATGCAAGCAAGTTCACTACTAGTCAACTTAAGCAAGTCAAAAAAGGGCCAAAGAAGTTCAAAATCCATTTTCTCCACATTCAAATGTCCATTCTTGAAACATGTATCAGATGTATGTAACTATCAATTTTCAAAGATTCGTTTAAGCATGATATTGCATTTTGTTCCCTTTGACCTATTAAGCCCAGACTAGAAAAAGGACTCATGCTTGGCTTGATGATCCCTGCCTCCAACATCTCCCAAATCAGTTTTTCGATTCCATCCTTCTGAATTTAAGGGTATTGGTAGGGTCTGACACTAACTGGTGACACCTCCTCCCTCAAGGTGATGACATGTTCTTGCTCCCTCGGTGATGACAATCCTTGAGGTGACTACAAAACCTCACTGGACTGATGTGTAAGCTGTTGTATTGAAAGATTGATGTCTCCCCTCTCCTCCAATATGATCCCTTCCAAGCTCTGCAACTCCATCAGAAATACTCCCCCCACCTCCCGTATGGTCCTCATCATGATTTTAAGAGAAATCATGGCTTTGGATAACTCTCCATTTCCCTGGATCACCTCCTTCCTTCCATCCACCATCATTTCCATCATCAGTGCACCCCAATTGGACTGGTTGTCTCCCAAGGTATGCAGCCATTTCATCCTTAGGATGACATCAGTGCTCCCTAACTCCAATGGGAGGAAGTCCTCCCTCACTTGGACCACTTGTATGGTCAAGACCTCCCCTTGCACATCATCACCTTGTAGCACCCTGTGTCCACTAGCTTGACCCTCAATTAGACCACAATCTGGTTGGAGATGAAATTATGGGTGACCCCACTGTTAATCAACACCATTATCTCCCTGTCTATTATCTTTCCTCTCACTTTCATGATGTAATTTGGAGTGAATTCCACAATTGAGTTTAAGGAGACCTCCACAACATTTAAATGCAGCTCTTCTTCCCCCTCCACCATTACCTCACTCCCACCTCCCTCAATTTTCTCGTCATCACAGACAATGAGAATCTGAAGAGTTTGGGTCTTTATACCTATGCCCTAGTGTATACCTCTTATCACATTTGAAACATAGTCCCTTCTCGCTCTTCTCATGCAACTCCATCTCAATGAGCTTCTTGAAGTTTCCCCCAGGTCTCCCTCCTATAGTCTTTTTCTTTGGGGTCTCCTTAAGAATACTCAATTTCTCCCTAAGAATACTCAGTGTCGGCCCCTTGGGTGCCAAAAAGGTGATGGTCATCATGTATGAACCTCCTGACCTGTTGGCTCTAGTTTCTCTCTCTAGGTACCTCTGATCCTTCACTAACAGAGCTAGCTCCATTGCCTCTCCCAAATCACGAGGCCTTATCACTAAAACTGTAATTTGAATCTCTAGCTTGAGCTCTTTCATAAAGCTCCCATCTAGTATGGTCTTTGAAAGCTGGTCCAGTCGACTGGCAAGGTGCTCAAACCTCTTATGGTACTCCACCACTATCTCCTCCTGCGTTAGAGCCAATAACTAGATGCCCCCCTGTTGCTTCAAAAACGTTCCAAAAAGCAGTGCTTAAACTTCTCCAGGTCTGTATGGGCTGTCTCATATCCCTCTATTGGTATCATGACAACACTTTACAGTCCAAGCACAGCCCGATCGCTGTCAGTCTTTCCTCCTTCGTCAACCCTTTGACAACAAAATACATTTCCGCCCTATATGTCCACCCATGTGCATCATCTCCTTCAAAAATAGGCATCTTCAGCTTCCTTACTCTCGGATCTCCTCTGTGCCTCCTATTTCTTCAATAACCTCCCATTCCCCAAGGGGGTGGCCCCTCCAAGTGTCCAGATAATTCCTTCTATTCTCATACCCAAATCATTTGTTAAAATGCCCTCATATTCCTTTCAAATTTAGTACCCCTCCAGTCATAATCAACCCCTCCTTTTCAAATTCAGCACTCCTTCGCTTATATCTAAACCCCTCATGCCTCTCTCCATACTCTCTACCTATATTCTCCATAGGAATAGGCTTTAGCGGAGGCATTCTCTCTTTTCTCTCCAAAATTTTCACCTCGATCTTCCCCTCTCTTTAACGGATTAAGATTTTTTCTGTTCCCTTGGCTGCTGGCGGCTCCCCTCACCTCCGACGACGCTATTTTTGTTTGGATATTGAGCATCCTCCTCATCATCTCCGCTATGATGACAAACTTCCTATCAATATTCTCATGGACGGTTGAAATTTGAGTTTCAAAATCTGAAATTTTTCTTTGAAATCAAATTTCAATTGTCCGATCTCCCCTTCCAATAATTCTACTTTTCTTCCTATCATAGATACCTGGATTTATGCTTTGATACCAGTTTGATAGGAAGTAGATGCAAAAATTGAGAAAAGCTAGGAAGAAGAACACACAAGAATATTTTTTTATTGAAAGATCTATAAAGGAAAACATAAGATATAATTGGATCTTCAATTGGAGAGGAAGGTCCTGCTCTCCTAAATCCCTAGCTGCAAGCTAGAGCCCTCTCAACCTAATCAATTCTAAATTCAGCAAAACCAATCATAAAAAATTGAACCATAGGGTAAACAACCTACTTAAAGCATATAATAACCTAGCAAATCCCAAAACAACCCTCTGCATTTGAATTTTCCCTCCTAGCCCTCTCCATTTGGGTCCCACCCCAAGGGGGTAGGATTTCATCCAAGCGGTAGGAGGGATTCCCACCTGTCATAAAACCTGGCTGGTCCAGGAGGGACCGGTCCATCAAATATCCTCATCTATTTCACCATCACTCTGAACAATACACCAAAACATCTAAAACATGTTCTATTATTAATGAATTGCCGCTCAAAGTCACAATACCCCCACTAGATCTATCAGACTATCACTACTAAAATTACATTATATATATTCAGTTTTAGATCTACTCAAATGAAAACTTTTAGACTCTAGGGTTGATCTCCATAATTCAAGTTTACCTTCGAATCCCTCTATAGTCTTATCAACAAGAAGAATATCTTTAACAAAAAGCATATAATAGGGTACAACCTCTTGCAAATGTCTAGTGAGAACATCCATGACTAAAGCAAAAAAGATAACTCTTGGAGATTGACTTGGTCATCTCGAACCTAATTTTTTGGTGAGAGTTGTGTTGACCAATGAATAATATCCAAAGGAAAACGAGAGTGAAATCATACATTCGCTCTGTTGAATTCCGAATATCCCGCTCTGTACCTCGTATCTGTCGAAGACATCCGCGAATCCCGCTGAAATCGGCGCTGTTGGAGTCGTTTCCCGGAATTCCTGTGTAAAACCTGCGACGACGGCCTCGATTTCACTCCTTCTCGCATCGTTAAATACCGACTCAAAGGGATCATTCGGCTGTTGCTCTTCCACACACGCGAACTGCTCGCTGCCTTGCTCCACTCCCTCACTCCCGATCCAGATTCCTTCAGTCCAGAGAAGCCGAGAGAGAGCGAGAGAGAGAGAGAAAGAGAGAAAGAGAGAGCTTACTTACGTGTCCGGCCCTCTGAACCGAGTGGTTTTGCCGCCAAATGGCACCACGGATAGCGGTTATGGCCAGAGCCAATACGTTCCTTGTTGGCATCAAATCTTTGAGATATGAATCAATAGGATATGATCGATAGGGCACAAAGCCCTCTGTTAGCTAAGGTGGATTCAAATTTGTCCCCTTAGACAAACATTCACACCCGGTCTACAAGGTCCTCTTGGACGAAGCAACCCATGGCTGCCGACAAGGATCCTTCTGTCAGGTTGGGTCGACTACCTCCTCTGACTAAGTAGACCAGGGATCACGATGGCCCAGGACGACGGAACCATGGGATCTTGATCGGGTCCATCATCCATTCCCCCACCATCCGCTTTAAGTGCTAGGTGGTGAAATTTCATATTTTAAATATCAAACTTTTCAATACTTTCCAAATTTCAAAATCCAAATTCATGCTGCTACTATATACCAGATAACACGTATATTCTACATATCTGATTGATGACTAGCCTTAATCGAAAGTTCTCTCTCGTGATCGGGAGGGGTAATTAACTATAGGGGCTTGCGCCTATAGGAAACCAGAACTCAGATCATAAAGTCCTCACAAAATGAGGGCTAAATCTCTGGGTAGTGTCTTATCTACAAACCCATATGCCTTCCAAAATTTACCCTGGAACTTAATCCGTTAAAACTCCCTCGCCAAAAGAAAAGCGCGAGTGGAGGCCGGGGACGAATTTTCGGAGCCCACAAGTTGTTATATGTTATTTATCTTTATTTTGTTAGTATCTATTGCATCTCCATAGCCCCTCTCATGATATGGTGTTGCTCTTCAAATTCCCTCTACTCAATGCGAAGGAAAACTCATCATTTGTAACCCTTCCCAAACTAGCCCAAATCTATTTCCCTGCCTTTTCCACCATATCTACACACCTAATCAACCCTTGACAACCTCAAATCCTTATCTCTAATATCTCACCGCATCCCAAAGAAGCCATAGTAGAGCCCTTAACGCACCCTTAGCTCCACATATCCATCTCACAAGTTCCACCCTCTCGGCCAATATCTAGTCCCACTTCCCCTTTTTAATGTTTTACTTCCAAAAGGCTTTTGAACATCAAACTACTTCCAATTGCTTCTTTTCCATTCACCTACATCATAAATAAATAGTCACCCATAAGTCCACCCCCACCACCACTCATTTAATTGGTATGATGAAATTTATGGAAGGTAGTGAAAAATGGAAAAATGATTATGTTGGATGCTTGGCCACCACTTACAACTATACCAACTTATTTGTAGTTCGATTTTAAATAAATTTATAACACTTTTACTTTATGGTTCAATTTTTTTTTTGTAAGATATAATTATTTGGAGTTATGTTGAAATAGTATGTGGTGAAATTTGTTTCATGCAAGTGTGGTCATCTAAGCAAGCTCACTGTTAGTCAACTCAAGCCCAAAGCCATTTATAAGCTTTACAACTTAAGCTTTCAATTCATCCTAAGCTTCGCAACTCAATCACCCATGCTCCGCCCTCACGGCTAAGATCTAAATCTCATTTCCCTTTCTTATTGCTCTCGACCATCCTAAGTAGTTAGATCTCAAAATTTTTTGGCAAACTATTTCCAATACCCTCTATCTTATTACATAATACTTCTTCATTTTCTTCAAAGTCTACCACCACTCCATCATTTGGTACATAGTCAAAACTTGATGAAACATAGTTAAAACTTGGCAATGCAAAGAGACTTCTACAAGGTTACATCTATTTGCAATAAAAAGTTTGTAAGACGGTAAGAAAATTTTACATATATTTTTTATCATTATTTATTAATATTGCAAAAAATCTTTTTTTAATTTCAGTCTTCCAAAAAATTTTTTTTTTCATTTTTCTTTTTTCATTGTGATATATAATGAGCAATTCATTATGAAATTAGAAAGATTCTTCATGAAACAAAAGAAATGCTCACTTATGTTGTTCCTAGATCTAAATAAATCAAGGTCTAAGCATTAGAAGAAGTTAGACTAAAAAAGTTGTGTAAATGTGTCAATGGTGAAAATTAAGTTATGCTTTTAGGAATCCAAGTGTATAGTAAAACTAGTAATGAATCTTTTAAATAAACTCATGCATCCAACATGCCCTAATCTACCACAATAACCATATTTAATATTAGGTAAATGAATTTTCAATTTCAATGAAAGTTTTGTGCTTTTTTTTTTAAGAGTTCATTAATCAAAGGAATAAAAATTAACATATGAAAAATGTTAAAATTAATCAAAATTTTTACCTTATGACATCCCTTTCAAACTTTGATTTGAACCATTTTGAAATGCATGTAATGCAAATCTTCAACGATCTTCCATAAAGACGTACCTACAACATAAACTCTCTCCTTAGATTTCAACAAGTTTGGGTTGACTAATAGTAGATTAAAAAAAGTGTCCGTTTTGAAAATTAATTATTCCTTTAGGAATGCAAGGGGGTGTGATAAAACTATTCATTTTCACGGATCTATTAAATAAACTTATGTATGGAACATGCCCTAATATATTACAATAACTATTAGTGGTGTAAACGGGTCGAGCTGAGCTCGAGTCACCCCTTGCTTGTGCTTGATCTTGTTATTATTTAATTAATCGAGTGTAAGCTCGAGCTCGAGCTTAATTTTGTGAATTTGAGTTTGCTTATGAGCTTGCTCATTTATTATGATAGAGAGAATAATTTTGATTCAACCAATTATTATAATAAAATGATAAAAAATGATAAATTAAAAGTAAATCAATAATAAATAGATTGATATAAGGAAGTGATATATAATTTTTAAATCTTTTAAACAATTTTATACTTAAACTCTTAAATTCTAATAGGTTTTAAGTGTATTTTATGTTAATATTTTTTAAACAAGTCAGTTTGCTAGTTAATGAGCGAGTTGGGGCTGATTGAAGCTTTTGCTCATTTGCTCATTTGCTCATCGAGCTTAGCTCATGAGCCATTTGTCGAGGCGAGCCCGAGTTGGCTTGACTCACTTGCACGAGTAAAAAACTAAAAACTATATTTAATATTAGTTAGAGCATGCATGAAAGATTTAACAATTATATTATTTTTTTCTTCTAAAAAAGAGAACTAGCATGCATGTGAGATTTATAACATGAAGTGTGCATACAAGAACTAAAGTAAGCAGTGATAGATGTAATCGATAAATGGTTAAACTTACATTCAAGATAACATTTACAACTTCTAAATCGTTCATCTTATTATATAAAAGATTAATACCTTTGATAATAAATCATTTGATAAGCTAGTATTCTCATCTTTTAAAGTTCTAATTCTATCATTCAAATCATCATGACAACAAGTACTAGAAGTGCTAAAAGAAATTTTAAGTAAACCATTCTATCTTTTGTAGTCTAATTATGATTGGGTGCTTGAGGTTGTGGAGAGTGCCTTTCTTCCTTTTATTCAACTTCATGAACAAATGCAACGTAGGTATTGGGTGTCTCTTTGTTCTTTTTTTTTTTTCTTGTCACTCTTCTTCTTATCTATCTTGTTGGAGGATTGTCCGTGTGATTCATTTTTTGTGGCTTTACAAAGTTATCCCTTTGTTGCATTTCCTTCTTTTTTTCTCTCTTTATCTTTTGATAAATCCCACAAACAAAGAAAAGAGTATCCAAAATTGATTTACCGGTTTTTAAATTTGAAACAAGTTTAAAAACATTTGGTAATAAAGCATATTGAAAATATGAAAGAGTTAAAAGACTAATTCATTCCTTTCAAATCTCATTAGAACTCGATAAAGAATCATTCAAAATAATAAATCATAATTTAGATTAATTCTATGAAAGAAAATATTAAAATTCAAATTTTCCAAAAATAAATTTTATCTTATCAAATACATGTAATACATCACTAGAATAACCAAAATTTAAAATTGACTATGCGTGCATGTGGATGTTAAATTTTAACAATTTTAAGCCTTAAAATCAACATGGGCCTTGGGTGTCTCTTAGTTTAGTAAATAGTTGATCTATGACTCTTTTATTAATTCATTTGAATTATTTCTATAGTTATCTTAACAATTTAACCCATATTTAATTACATGTTAATGTATAAATACTATTAGCATTAATTAGTTAAATTAATAAGTTAATGATATTAATTAATCATTGATTAAACTGATTAATTTCTAAAAAATTCTAATTAATATATTTTTAATTAATTGACCTATGACTAATTCACATAAGTGATTCCTACTCACGCTTAAAAGCTTTGCATCTTCCCCAAATATTTTCTTAGCTCATGCGCTAACTTTTTTTTTTTTGGCCACTTAAATTGCTTATGCCCACTGTCCAACTCTTCCAACTTTCTCGCTTTTCCTTTGGATAGCCAAGCAAATAAGTCACGACTCTTCCAATATATCTGTATTTAAAGCCCTGCTTTATTTATCCAATTGGCCACATCTTATCTTGAAAAACACACCACTCGTAGTTATTTGTTTAAAGTAAATATTCCATGAGAATTACATTTAACATGAGAAATTACATTTGAAGTTCTTTCATATAGAAAAAATGGAAATTTTCAAATTAAAGTGAACCAAAAACTACTAAAAAAATTATGGTGTTTAAGGTTCAGGTTCCTTTTGGGATGATTAGATTATAGTTGCCTGTAATTAGTCGTAAAATTATTGTGAGAAAGTCAGGTTTTTGAAAACTATTGTAGGTATAGAGACATATTTCCTGCAAAAAATTTTATCAACAGCTTTATTATGGCCACCACTCCTGTTCATCTGATTGTGAACATATTTTTTTATCACATAAATTTTTGTGTAGCTGTGAATTTATTATGAGAAAATTTGAGTTTTTTGACAAGTTTTGTTGATATATAATATTTTTTTCTCCATAAAAAATCAAATGCTAGATTTTTTTATCCCTATTGCACTCCAATAGATCTGTTTATGAAAAGATTCTTTTTATTACCCTTAGGCTTCATTTGGGACGGCTTTCTCGGTGCTTCTTAAAGCTGCTTTAAGAATTTGTAAGAAAACCGTTCCAAACGAAACTTTAATTTGTTGAATCCTGAGCTGATTCTTAATTTATCGATTGCCATGCAGGGCGGTGCTGGGGAGTGTGAATGACTACTGTGCTCACCATGCACACTGCACGGTCATGATAGTGAAGAAGCCCAAGCACAAGAACAAGCACTAATCCTCTCAAGGTTTTATTCTACTGAACTTAAAAAGAAAATAAATTCCTCCAATTGTAATAGCCTGTCAAACTTGATGAATCTATAAAACTCTGGTTTGTATAAAATGTTTGCTGTGAATGAATACAATATAAATAATAATAAGCACAGTTTGTCCAGGCTGCCTACTTTTGCTCTGGATTTTATCTATCTAAAATATCTCCATATTACAAAAATTTTTAGTTTAATTTTTTTTTTTTACTAGAAAGCTGTTTTAGAAATCAATAAAAAAACTGTCTCAAATATGCCGCTTCTTTCCTTTGAAGGATTTACTCAAAATTATTTATGCAGTTAGCGGTTGCAATGTTACCTTTGAAGCTTTGTTTGGGATAGCTTTTAGTCTTAAATTTTTCATTGCTTTAAAAAAAAAAATGCTAGAAAATTGTTGTAGGAAACAGTAAAAAAATTGTCTCAATTGAAGCTTGAGTTAGATATGCATAAGGTTTATTATAGAATTGTTTAAGGTGATGTAATTGTATGGTTTTAGTTCTAAATTGATCTAACTTATCAACCAATATATTATCAACTGTTCTTTATTCTTATTATAAGTGCTAGACTAGAGTTCTTTGCATCTAAAATAAAGTAAAAAAAGAAAAAGAAAAAAGATGACATTATTTTACTATCTTTATCTATTATTGCTTTTGATCACTTAACAAAAAATCTTCAAAAAAGACTATCCAATATCCTATTGTGCACCCAGAAAGCTTAATTTGACATTAATGTTATCCATGTGCTTTTGTTGATGGCTTAGTTAATCTTATTATTGGTAGTGAACTATACTAAAAGCTTCTATGGCAATCCCAACTTATTTGAAAATTTATCTGCTCTTATTATTTGATTTATAGCCTCTGATAAAATTTTAAATTTAAGCTTTGTTTGTGACATTTTTATTACTATTTTTAAAATAATTTTTAGTAATTTTTTTAATTATAAATATTTTATTAAAAATTATTTAAAAAATCAATATGAAAAAGTTGCCCCAAATAAAATTTTAATCACAAATGTGATAAGAGAGATTACTAAATTTGATAGAAAACCCTTACCTCTTGATTAATTAGGATCTATTTTTTAAGATAAGTTGATAGTCTTTTATTTGATGTCTTGCTTAATAAATCAACAATATACTTTTTGGATGGGTCATAAATAAGTTTTGTTGGAGGGAGAATTTCATTTTTTTGAAGATTTTTTTTGAGTGCTATGCCTCATTACTTGTCTCAAGTGCTATGATAATACAATTACATTAATTTATATAAAAAAAGGTTGTTTTAACAAGTTCTTTTTAAGTAATACAAATAGTAATTGACCAACTCATTAGATCAATGGGGAGGAAATTTACTTTTCATTTGTTTAAGGGGGTTTATCCTTTTAGAGATTATTGAATCTCATTATTATGTTCTCCTTTAAACTTTCATTTTTAATATTCACATTGAAAAATATTTTTAGCCCAAATTTATATGTGCTAAATATATTGGTTATAAAAATTCTTCTATCATAATTATTCATTTATTGAATTCACCAATTCGAAAACGGCTCTATTCTTGTAAGAATAAGGTTAAGAATCATATATTCTGGCTTATAAGGGGATGTATAATTTCTTTTTGAGAGGATTGCAGAATGAATATTAATATTCTTAAAATTTATATTCCCATAAACTTCTCGTTAAGTTAAAGTCAAATTTTTTTTATTTATGATGATAATTAAAACATTAATGAGCTGCTCAACACACTTCTTGGTATTGATTCTTCCATTTATAAGCCCCTTTGGGTACGAATAATTATACGTTTAATTCTCGAAGAATTTTAACGATCAAATGGTTAAAACCAAAAAATATGATAGAAGATTGGAATGTCTTGAAATTATTCCCCCTTTCTTCATATTACTTGACATGAGAATATCCTATTTATTGCTAATTGTTTTGCTAGAAATTCCGAAAGAATTTAATTCCTATTGATCTTAAGTATTTATCTTGCTTATTTATGCTATTATTGTCCTAATAATGAATACATTCTTTGTGCATTCATTGATAATCCTAATATATAATAATAAAAATCACACTATTCAAAATATTATTTGTTTTGACTTAGCACATCCCATAGTAGGCTAAACATCACATTTTATCTTTTAAAAACCTTCTCAAATATTTGAAAATTTGTCTTAAAAATAAATTTAAAATGCTGAAGCTTTAAAAAAATAAATAATTTAAAAACAGAGATTAAAACATCAAATAAATATTTTTTTGCTTTATTTTGATTTTGTAGAAGCAATTTTGTTGAAGGCAAATAATATATTTTTATTGCTTTTCATTAATGATTTTCAAAATAAGATTGAACGAATGATTAATCACCAAAATGCCTCTTTTTCCAAGATAACCAAATCAACCCCTTAGTGTGATAAAAATAAAATGCAGGAAAAGTAAAGTTTGAAAAAGCAAGACAATACAAATAGATGTTTATAGTGATTTGATCAGATTGATCTACACCCACTCCCCAAAGATCCTTTTCTATGGGATTTGCACTATACGTGTGTTTGTGTGGGTGGGGGGATTTTACCAGTTAAAATGAAAGTTATGATTTTTCAAAACTATCTATTATTATACATATTTTTTAGATTTATAGATTTCAATATTTCATATTGCATTTCATGCATAAAAGAGATATTGGTACAACTGATATGAAATAAATATAATATATGCATGTAAGCAAGGAAGACTGACTAATAACATTATAATTATTTTGGGTTGGCTATTAAAATATAATACTCTGGGCAGAAGGGTGGACATACTAGATTTTATTTAAAGATGGTTTATGATATTATATCGATTGTAGCTTGTAACCATTGATTGAATCATAACGATAGGTAAAGGGTGACAACTCTTTAATGATAAAATGATAAAGATGTTATCATTATCAGAAGAATGAATAAAAATGCTATAATAAAATTTGATGTCCTACATTGTTAAATCATATATTGATGCAATTTATTCTTTGATAACATTCATAACATTGATAATGTTGGTACCATTAATGATGTTGATATCAATGATAATATTGATAGCATTGATAGATATAGAGATAAGTGTATATATTATATGTACTGATTTCATAATGTAGATAATTGATAAGATGAGCAAGACTAACGACGTTAACATCTGTATGTTCTTGTTATAATACTGATTTACTAAACATTGATTTACTGATTGCACATTTTCACACTTTCGATTTATGGATTTAAGCATGTTGATTCTCATTTTTCATTTTTGACCATATAGAATCATACAAGTCATGATTGAGCATGAACGATAGTAAATATTATTGATTCTATTGATTGAGATAAGCATGCACATTGATTTCTTATATATTGTATTGAAAGCTTTAACAAGTTTTTGGTTTTTGCTTGTCTTTGTAAGCTCATTATGCAATTTTATTGATTTTAGGTCAGAGAAGGGGTTAGGATCATGTGGAGTGAGACTGATTGGGATCTTGACTTTGTTCTTTTCATTTTGTTTCATATGTCCTTTTATTCTTTTGTAGTAATAAGTTATTGATAGATTAGTAATTATTAGTAATCTCCTAGCTATTATATATAAGATTTTAGTGAATGAATATAGATAAATAATTTCCTGGTGTATGATATTTAATTGCTTTTGCATGATATTGAGTTATATAAATGATCTATAAAAGCTAAGGTTGATGGCTAAAATATAAAACAGATAATTCTTCTAAATTAGATTATAGGGTGTGCCATGTCCCTCACACTCCCTTGAGACCCTCAAAGCTCTTCTCCCCCTCTCAACCTTACCTCATCTCTCTCCTTTTATTTTGTGAACTCTCTCTGAGCTCTCTTATTAAATGAAGACTTTTCTGGATGCCAAAAAGTATGTTATCTCAAATCATAAATAAATTTATAAAGTGTGCTCTCAAAATACTGATTTTTAATTAAACCACATCTGATCTTATAATACAATTAATTTAATGCCTTCAACATCGTCCTGTATGATTAGAAATTGTCCACAATGATTAGTTCAAATCGAAAATCAAATCGTACAGGATGAACCCAAAGTTCATTTAAAGAGCTCTCTGGTTGATCATACTATACAATATTTGTATCATACAATACGATTAATAATTAATTTAGATATGATTTGATTCCTTATTTATTGGACTTGAATTAGACAAGTATAATTAAATATCATACAATAAAAAGTATTTCGTACAACACGATCAGTTCAATTTTTAAATTTGCTTATTTTAAGTGACCAAAATTCGATGACGCGGTTTATTAATATACCAGATTATCTAGTATGATGTATAGAGCATACAATAATTAGTTATAATAATTTTAATTAATCTCACTTAATTAAATATTTTAATTAATCTCAATAAATTAAATATTTTAATTAATCTCACTTAATTGAATATTTTAATTCTTTTTTGTTTGAATAGATCATGAAGTACAATCTGGATCGTACAGTGCAATTAATAAAAAAAATTAAACCAATCAATTTTAACCCCCTTGTGTGTTTGCGCATGGTTTCTAAATAAACATACACCTAATATATAATCAGACTAAAGAAAAAAAAAGACTCTATAGCATACAGACTGACATTTACTCTGACACTTCACTATCTTGAGCCGATTCTTCAATCTTTGCTTAGTGTATGTTGTACCTAAAAGGCTAGTAGCACACAAAAATAAATATCCAAAATATGATGCAACAATAAGTAAATGAAGTATTTAATAATATTTGTAATCATCAAAATATACGACCGGGCTCTAATATTGCAATACAAACATGCTTAGTTATGAAGTTTCCAAGGAAAATCAATATGTTTTATCAAAAGACACCTAGTGTATAGTGGCCTAACCTTTTACTTAAATAACTGAATATCCTTTCATTTTATTTTGCTATATGATTTGGGTCCTTGATATCCCCCTTACACTTTAGAATATTCTCGTCTCCTTTAATTTATTAGGAGCCACTCTTTGATTGGGTCTCAACCGTAGTAATCACGCTTCACAAAAAAAAAAAAAAATGTTAACCTATCTTTTAGTTCTCAATAGTCCCGTAATATTCACCCCAACTTTAGGACTCCCCTTAAGAAAATCTTGAACCTAAAGAAGGGCAGTGGTGGGGCGACAAAGCGAACGGCGACGGCAGGTGGCGGTGGTGGGGTTGCCAAGGAAGCACCTGAGGGTGTTAAAGCATCTCAGTCAAATTGGACGAGAACGCTTTACCTAAAAAAGGAACTAAAATGGAATACACTTCATTTACTTGGATTTACTTTTCATCCAACCAAACACTAAAAATAAAGAATGAATGCATTTACTTTACTTTTCATTCACTTTTTTTCCAACCAAACAACTTCTTAGTACCGTTTGACCATTGTAGAAATAATTTTAGAAAACAAATTGATACATCAAAGGAATTAATGAAGTGTGAGCCGCTCAAACCGCTCATATGGTAATTGGAATCCATGGCTGAGCTCTCTGAATGTGTTTTGCTGCTCTGGGTTTTCTAGGGTTTTTTCTAACCCTACCTCTGGGCTGCCTCCTCCCAGCATCCATCTGGGCGGGTTCCTCACCCCCAGATGGAGCTCTCATCTGGTGACTTCCCCCCTCTCTCGAATGCCTCTATTCTGGGATCCCTTCCTTTGCCTAAATCTCCCAAGCCTGCCACTTATGCAGACAATCTCACCACTACTTCCTCTAAGCCATGTGTTTTTTCTATCTCCTTCTACACCCCCAGCCCGAAACTCTCCTTTAAAGGAGATGACTTATCCGAAGGCTCTGCTATATGGGCCCTTTCGCTTGTGGGGTACCCTATCGGGCAAAGGCCTTACTACGAGAGATTGCTTGCTACTATGAAAAAGCTATGGATTCTCAAGGGTTCTCTCTCCCTTCTCTCTTTAGTGGATGGGTTCTTTCTTCTGAATTCACATCATCGAAAGACCTTGATATGGTTTGGAATGGAGGACTGTGGTTTCTTCTGGGTAAGCCGTTCATCCTCCTCTGTCTAAATTCAAACTAGTAAAGGATGAATTTGCCTCTATTACCCTCTGGATTAAGATTATAGATCTCCCGCTTGCTCTGTGGACTCCCACGGGTATTTGTGGATTGCAAGCTACATAAGGGTTCCACTTTCCGTTGATGCGCTCACTGCTAAAAGGACCAGACTTACATTCGCTCGGGTTTGCATTCAAATCTCTAAGGATTGTCCTTTGCCTGATGAGATTCCCATCCAGATTGAAGAGGAGAACATGAACCTCAAAGTTGTCTATGACTGGAAACCAACCCCGTGCGAAGGTTGTGGTTCGTTGATACACCCCTTCTCTTACTGCCCCTCCAATCCCAGCCCTGTAGCCATCCCCCCTCCTCCTTCCAAGAATCAGGGAAGAAGCTCTTTTAGGAAACCTTTTGTCCGGATCACCAAATCTAGCTCCAAACCTCCAACTCTTCCCCCATTCCAAAATCGACCATTTCCTTACCTGAGGCAAGTTAGTTTCTTCAGGCAGAAAAACACACTACCAATTATGAATTACTTTCTTCTTCCTTACCTCTTGCTGACATACCTGACCCAAACCTCAACACAACCGTTCCTAACCTCAACTCACCTCTTGTTGAGACAGTCCTCTTGGATATTAGTTCTCCACCGATTTTGGTCCCTTCGCAAGTTTTAATTCCTCCTCCTACATTCCACCTTAATAATAAGTTCACTACTTTGGCCTCCTCAGACCAGCCATCTACTTCACAATCTCTCCCCACCAATGATAAACCTCCTTTCTATGAAGTTAACTCTTCCCCCTCAAGCCTGTCCTTAGGTTCTTTTCTCTCTGAAGGGACCCCCTACCTCCTCCACTCATGAACCCCCTTCCCCTCAATCTCAACACAAGCCTAAGAAGCCGAAAGCCAAAGCTGCCAAGAAAGCAAAAGGGGCTAAGCATTAATGTCTTCATCTTTTGCAAGTTGGAATGATAGGGGGTTTAATAACCCCAATAAGGTTCACATGTGTAGGAACGTGGTCAAAACTCATGATATTAAGCTTCTTTGCATCCTTGAAGCTAAAATCTTTAAACATGATCTCCTTGATCTGTGGTTTATTAACTGTCACATTGTTTTTAACAATGAGGCGAGATGCGACAATGTTGGTCCCTCTGCAATTGGGAGAATTTGGATTAAATGGGATTCTTCTAAAGTTTCCTTCTCCCACATCTTCTCTTCTTCTCAAGTAGTGCATGGGATTTACTCTGAAGACTCTTTTCCTCCTATTTACCTCTCTGTTATTTATGCAGCAAATAATCCTAATGAGAGGAGACTGCTCTGGGATCAACTCAGGAACTTGGCTCAAGAACCTAATCTTCCCTAGGTTATACTTGGGAATTTCAACTGTTGTTGTTTTGAATCAGAAAAAGCGGGGGGG